TTTACATCCTTGTAACACATTAAAGATAATTTCTCTACTAAAAGTTTTTGAAATTGTTTTAAATTTACAGACAGTTGGCAGGGGAACTAATATGATGTCCACACATTTTCTCCTCAAATTCCCATTTTCCATATTTCCTTTTTGTTTTCCCTCCTTGTAGTTTCCTCCTTCATACACATATGCATATATGCATCATTTAAGTGTAATTTGTAGGCATGATACCCTCTTAACACTGAACCTATTTAACACTCATACTTGCATTTGTCTGTATATGTGTGTGTTTTGTGTGTTTCTAATAAAATGCAGTTCTCAGGCCTCAGCACTGAAAAATAGCCATCTGTTGACAAACACCTATTCACATTTCTCATAAATGTCTTTTATGGGTACCAGATCCAGTTCAGAAGTATGTGCTACACAGTGGTGTTGCTCCTCCACTAGGCATACCAGCTGAAAACTTGGTGATTTTATTTATTTATTTTTTATTTTTATGTTTTGTTTTTGGTGCCGAGGACTGAACCCAGGGCTCCTGGCTTGATAGGCAAGCATTCTACCACTGAGCCAAATCCAGCCTTGGTGATCTTTTTAATGTCTAAAATAAATCTCTGTCAGTTGTTCTTATTTTTTCTTAGTGGAAATTAAGAATTATAGCTAGCCATTGATTAATCTTTGAAATCAAGGTTAGTGGGTTTTTCTTATTTGTAGTCTGAATCTCCACACTGTGTTTCTTAATAAAAAAAAAAAAAAATCTTTGAATTTAATCCAGTTAAATATCTTTTTTTTTTTTTTTTAACTTCTTGATATGTGATAAAAGTGACATTCTCAGTGATGTTTCATCAAAGACAGGCCCATTTTTATTAAGTATAGTTGGTTGTGTGGAGAGTTGTAGGTAGTTTGAATAGGTAATTTGCAGCTCCCTTCCCAGCCCAGCTAGTGCTAAGGACCAAGCTTGGCCTTGAGCCTGCTCAGCAAGAACTCTTAACACCATTACGCATGTCTTTGTAATTTGATATTATTCAGTTAACAGACGTTTCTCTGCTGATGACCTGCATGCACCTCTAATCCTAGCACTGGAGAGGCTGTGAGTGAGTTCAAGGATAGCCTGAACTAAATAATAAAACCCTATCTCAAAGAGACAGAAAAGACTAAAAGCAAGTTTTCCATAGATGAAAAAGGAGAAAGGAGGTTTTGGTCAGATTTTGGTTTCAAAAGGAAAGTCTTTATAAGTTTACTAATTTTATCTGTATTTTACGAAAACTAATTGAGCAGTATTAAATAGTTAAATTACGAAAAATTTAGTATTTTATTTAGTTCAGCTGATCTGCATTTTGTTCCTAATTGGTACAAATGATTCCAGAAGTACATGTTTCTATACTAATAAATAGTTCAGGATATATTTCCTTCTATATCTTAATTTTGGGAAATTTAATAGTAAGGAGGTGCTTTTTCTGTTTTAGTATCAATCCTTTATTGTAAAAGTAAATACCTGGAAATAGCTGCTTTTCTGTGAGGTTCTAGTCCCTTCAGTGTTTCCTGCCTGCCTTTATTACTGGGTATGGTTAAAGCAGTCAGTACTAGCTGCATGGTGTTCTCACACACCTGCCACCACAGACCCGGAAGGACACTCTTAACCTGACTGAGCTTGGCGGCCTTGGCGTTCCTACCAGCTCTGATGCGAACTCCTAGGCACATAATGTATTTAGGGTCTTCTCTTAGAGAAACAAGGAGACAAGAACAGAGTTCTGAGACATTTTTAAGGGAGTTCATTGACATCTACCTAAAATACCAAAATCTTTTATTTCTTTTGTTCTTTTTGGAACTTAAGGTTTCTGAACAACGTGAATGTTGCCCAAAATGTGGAAAAGAAAAAGAAAATCAGACCAAATGCCAAAGTTGTGGTAATATTTTTCGTAATGATTTACAAAGAAATTGCAGACAAACTGTAACTTTGAATGAAGCTACTGGACCATTGTTAAGAACATCAATTCATCAAAATTCTGGAGGACAAAAGTCACAAAACACAGGATTGACAACCAAGAAGTTTTATGGGAACAGTGTGGAAAAGGTTCCAATTGATATAATTGTCAGTCATGGTGACAGTAGACATACTTATTTACAGACTAATGGAAAAATCATTTTACCTGGGGCAAAAATACCCAAAATCACAAATTTGAAAGCAAGAAAAGCAAGCCTGTCAGACCTAAATGATCCAAGTAAGTGTTTTCGCTCTCTTTGGTTTTTCTGAGACTCAAATCCCTGGATTTAAGTAGTAGGCCTACCTCAGATCCTGTGTACCTGGCACTACAATTGTGTGCTGCCACACCTGGGTTAATTTTGCTCTTTTAAATTGTGTTGTATCAACCCAGTGAACAATTGGGGACTGATTGAATAAACTGTTGAATACATGGTTGTATAAGGGGGAGGAGAGAGAGAGGTCTGATAAAATCCTATGTAGAATGATTTTTAGGATTTTAATTAAGTAAAGCCATAGACAAGACTGTGTTATAGAGGGTGGGAAAATCAATATGCTTTGTTTATTTCTTTCTTTCTTGAGACAGAATCTTGGTATGTAGTCCAGGCTGACCTTGAACTCACTGTGTAGCCCAAGATGTATTGGTAAAGCAAATTAATAGCTATATTATTGTCTTGTCACCAAATAAGGTTTGAGGAGGTCTTCTGAGATGGAGATGGGGACCTCAACTTTCCCCAGGAGTACATTTATTGGCTCTTTTCTTACATAAAACATTTTAGGGCCCATCAGTGTGGGTGTAGGGAAATTTATCAGGCAGAATTGGAAAGTTAAGAAGTCTAGCTTGTGCAGCATTGATGAGGTTCACACTGACTGCCCATAAGAGAACAGGGTCAGCCTTTTGGGATTGGCTGGGGTGGATCTGATAGGTCATTGTTTTAGTTCTGGTTGCATCGCTCTAGAGGAGTCATGTGGCATGGAGACCAATGTGTGGGTGGGGGGTAAATTCATGGAGAATCCCTCTCATTTGAGGAGAAAATGTCATGGAATGATCTGGGATGGCTTTTCCTGGAACCCAAGGTGCTGTTAGGAATAGTGGCTGGAGAGTTCTAGGAGTTACTTCAGCTGGTCTGGAACTGGAGATTGTAAAATCAGGCAATGGCATGTTGCTGGAAATTACTTTAGTTCTCATCTTGAGGTCCTCAGTCTTGAAGAGGGATAAGATAAATGAGGTAAGTCTAAGGCTGGTAAACATTTGACTGTAGACACTCCTTAAGTAACTACTGTGCCTGTATGTATTAAGTAGGAGTCTAACCTCAAGCTTTTAGGGTAATAAGACCAAAAATTCAAAGGCAGAGAGGCCAACTTTTATCCTGCTCCTCATTCATTACCCTTTGCTGTACATCCAGCCTCTAGGTATCTCTTAATTCTCCCTTGTCTGAGGAAATTAAGATACTGGCCAATCTGTCTTTATAAATTTTCGGGCTGCAGTAAATTGATACATAAATGAGGAAGTGTCAGGCTGAGCCTTAAGTTTCTGGAATGCCTAATCATAGGCCTAGGGAGAAGGATATGGATAATCTTGGGTGAATTCGATCAACATAAGAACTACAGTTTCCTTGACTCTTTCCCTACCTTTCTTCTAATCTACCTTAGTCTCAACGTTAAAGATACAGGACCAGCTCTCCACTACGAATGTGATTATGTACTGCAAATGTATACTTAAAAAAAAAAAAAAAAAAAATTAAGATTAACAAAAGAATGCAATAATAAATATAAGTTCATTAAGTTGAAATTGCTTTTGGAGACAGTAGTGTACTTTTTAAAAGTATGCTTAATCATTGTTAAACTTGCATTTATTTTTTAGTTTTTAGATAGTCTCACTAAGGTGTCTAGTAGAACTCATGTTTACGATGCCCTCCCCTGAGCTGCCCTGTGGACTGGAATACAGGTGTGCACACTGTATGTGACTAGAACAGGCATCTTTGATGAAGTCATGTTGAAGCAGAGCCCGAGTGAAGGAAGCAGGAAGAAACGCTGATTGATGTAGATGTGAATGGCCTTTACAATGCAAGCACAAAGAACCCTGTATTAGTCTGCTTGGGTTACTGTACAGAAAACAATGATTGGGTGACTTAGAAGAAATTTGGTTTCTGTATGGTACAGAAGAGCTTCTGGATCCCGTCTCAGTCCAAAAGAATCCACATTTGTAATCCTATGGAAAAGTTACTGGAATTCTAATAAGTTAATTCCAGTCTACCACTTCCAGTGTAACACATGGAGAGAATAAAGACACTAAATCTTGCTCGTAGTTGTGGAGAACTAATTAGGAAAGCAGCTGTGAGAACATTTGATGAATTGTATGGTATCTTTGCACATTCTCCTTATTTGCTTTGTAATCATGGTAACATTAATCACAACTCTTAGGTTTTTTTTTTTTTGTTTTTTTTTTTTTTGAGTCAAAATCTCATTGTGTAGTGCAAGCCATCCTTGAATTCATTTCCAGTTTGGCCTGAAATGGTGATCCTCCTGCCTCAGCCTCATTGAATGCTGGGATTCTGAGCATGTACCACCATGCTTAGAAAACTTTATTTTAATATGAAAATTTATTATACCATCCTATGAAAGCATTGGGGCTTTGAAGGTTTTTGCTATGGTTTGTTTTGTTGCACATTCTAGGTAAACATTCTAACGCTGACCTGCAGACCAATCCCCTTTTAACTTTTATTTTGAGACGTTCTCAGCTGCCCAGCTTGGCCTCAGACTTGATATCCTCTTGACTCAGCCTCATAAGTAAGTGGAATTACAGAGGTGTACCAACACACTTGGCTGGGGCTTTATAAGTTTTATACATACAGTACAGGTTCAGAGGTTTTAGTGGTTTTCCCACGGCCATGGGATAGCAGAGGGCCATGACTACTGTTGTTCGATGGTTGCTGTGGCGGTGGGCTTTCTTTTTAGTATATACTTTTATGTAGGTTTTCAAAATATAGTGTGTGGACTTTTTAATAACTATATTAGAGAAAGTACATATGATGTGTGTTTTTAAAAATATGTTTATATACACACATATACTCACACATCTCAGACACCATGCCAAGCATTGTGTATCATTTGCTCCTTACAACAGTGTCCCCAGTTTCACAAGAGAAATTTAACGAGTTTGCTAGCTCTGAAATAGATTCAGCATCTGCATCTGCTTCTGAAACTGGACAACAAAATAAAAGAAAAAAGCAGAATGATGCAAGTCTGGTAGCCTTCTGGAACATGTATAATAATCACTAAATATTAAGTCAGCATTTCTCCATAGTAAACTAAATAGTAAAACTGCCTACAAGTTCATACATTCTTAGTCACACAATTTTAATGAGCAGGTGTGTGTGTACCATGTTTTAGGTTCTGGGGATATACACTGAATTGAGTAAGACAGTGTCTTAATGTCATGGTTTGTGTGTAGAGAGGAAAGACAAGTGAACAGGTAAACACAACAAAAAGCAACAAAATTTAAGTCATTTGGTCTGACTTGGTACCTCTGTGTTTACTTTAGACTGAGTTATCAGTCTGAAGTGATATTGAAGCTAGTGTTTGTTGATAAAAATACAGATTTGGGGGAAATGAGAAGCTTGTGGCATATTCTTGGAACACAAAGAGAAAAGTGGAATAAATTGAGAAAAGTATACAAAGGAGCCAGATTATAAACCATAGCAAAAAAATAGGATTTTACTCACATGCAATTCCTTGGGTGAGTCCAAGGAATTGTGTCAAGATGGATTTGCTTAGTTTCAGAAATGACTACAAGGTATAAGAGCAAATTACCTTCATAAGGTCTTTTTCTTTTCCGTGTTCATTTACTTACTAAGACTTACTAAGCAGAGTCACTGGTCAAGTTACAGTTTAACAATTTCATCTGTGTGATAAATTTATTTGGCCACGTGAAATTTCACAGATTTAAGAGGCAGGTGATTTTGAGAATGAGTTGTGTATATAAAGTACTGTCATATCTTCAACTTACTGAAATTGTGAAATAAACCTACTGGTAAACCTACATTTAATTCTTATAACTGCTGGTGTTTTCCATCTGGGTTTGTGGCAATGGGCTCTAGAATGAATTTGACATTTGTGTATTTTTTTAAAAGATCCCAAGTTGTATGCTTTCTTGTAAGTTAACTACTTTTCATCAGATAAAGGATTTTGTCTTTGTTCAAAGTAAACCTAGTGTATTCTCCACTGATAGTTTATTGACACTTTAACTGATAGAAATTAATCACAAGATTCTATTGCAAATAGAATTTTAATGTAAATTTTGAATTTTCATTACCATTTAGTCATTTTGTCCAGTGATGATGATGATGACAGTGACAAGAGTAACAGAAGAGACAGCCTCTCTCCCCAACCTGCTGACTCAGCCTGTTCTTCTCCAGCTCCATCCACTGGAAAAGTAGAAGCAGCACTGAATGAAAATCACTGCAGAACTGAGCTTGAGCCAAAAAGCATTCCACCAGAATCAGAGCTAAACACAGTCATATTGCCAAGGAAAGCAAGAATGAGAGACCAGGTACTCTCACCTTGATTCAAATGAAAGTCTCCCCTTTTGAGATGTTAATTAATCTGTTTTTGCAATAATATAAGATTATTTATTAATTGGGGATTAGATAACACTTTAGAAGATTATTCCAAAATACTATAATAAAAAATTATAGGATTTGAGTGTTAAAAATTCAAGAAAACAGCAAAGTACCAGTGTGTTTCTGTTAATACTTGTTTTATATAATTGCATGTGCTTATATAATTGTTACCTCTTCCTGTGGGATTTTTCCCTTTACAGGAATACAGTGACCTTCTTTGTCTTAAATCAATCTGCTTGATATTCACTTTGTCTGCAGGTAGAATAGCTACCCCTTCTTTTTTTTTCTCAGCTCCTGTTACATGGACTGTTGTTTTCCATCTTTTGCCTTTCAGTCTATGAATTTCTTTTTGAATTAAATGTGTTTCTCGTATGCAGCATATTGTTGGAACTTGCTACTTGATCCATTCTGCCAGTGTGTTTCTTTTGACTGGTGAATTGAGACCATTAACATTGATGGTTACAATTGATACATTTTGACTTATCTTTGTCATGTTATTTTTTTGTTGTGGCCCCCCACACACACTTTTCTTATTTAGTTGTTGATTTCTTTTATTAGGGTTCATGGAGTTGTAGTTCTCTCTTTTTCTTTTTTTTTTTAAGTTAGCTCTTTAGAATATCCATCAGAACATTTTTGTAGTACTGATTTGGTAGTCATGAATTTCTTAAGTTCTTTGTTGTGGAAGTATCTTATTTCTCCATCAATTAAAAAAAAAATATATTTAGTACAGGGTCTATAGGATTTCATTACATAGATTGGACTCGTAGTGATCCTCCTGTTTTCAGCCTCCCAAGTGCTGGGATTATAGGCACATGTCACCATGCCCAGTATCAGTTGCTGTCTCAGTGTGCCCTGGGGCAGGGCCGGCACTGCACACCAGGGATCGAACTATCCATCAGTTTTGAAAGACAGTTTTTACAGGGTATCTCAATTTCAGTTGAAAATTGTTTTCTTTTAGAGATTGAAATATTTAACTCCACATTCTCCTTGACTTACGGGTTTAAGTCAGTTGTACTTCAGATGAGGTTTCCTTTATAGATGATTTGTTTCTTTTTCTCTGACAGCTTCTAATATTACATTCTTGTGTTGGATTTCTGGAATCTTGACTATGATATGCTTGGCTGCAGCTTAGGGGTTTTTTAGTTTGATTTTTTTTATCACTGTTATTTGGAGTTTTATATGCCTCACTTCTTTGTATGTCAAATTCTCTTTCCCTGACTATGATATTTTCTGCTGTGATGTCTGAGGTTTTTTAATGTCATTTATGCTATCCTGCATTTTCATTGACTCCTGTCAATCTGTGGTATTTTTCTTTGCATCATCTAGCAGCTGCTGGATTTATTTCTTGTGGTCCCTTGCTATTTTTTAAGAACTCTTTGTTTTATGATCAGTAGCCACAAGCTTGTCTTCTGTATCTGAGATTCTGTCCTCACAGTGGCTGATTTTTCTGGGGATACATTCAGTATATCCAGAAAATGGAATTTTTATTTTCCTAGATATCTGTTTGAGTCTTTTTTATGGATTCCGTTTCTTACGTTGGGCATTCGTGATTTCCATCATTTGCTTAAGTTCTATGTTTTTATGTGTCTGCTCTTATGTCACTGTTTTCATATGGTCACCATTTGTGCATTCATCTGAGAAATCATTTCTGATTTGTCTTTTCCTAGAGTTTCATTCATCTGCTTTGTTACCACCTCAGTGAGGCCAGGTGGGGGCTTTCAGGTTGTCTAGACCAGTTCGGCTTGCAGCTATCATTATACCTTCTGTGTGCTTGAACTCAGCTGAGAACCACTAGAAGGACCTAGAAGTTGTTCTCACTTCTTCCTGTATTTGCCTTTGATGAGATGGATGTCTGAGGTTGCATTTTGCTCCTCTCCTCTCCTCTCCTCTCCTCTCCTCTCCTCTCCTCTTCTCTAGCTTACTTCCTGATTTAATGCTTGTAAATTGCATATTGTGAATTGCTTTATTACTGTTACTTAGAACCCTTACTAAGAAACTATATCTCCAAGGTATGTTCTGGGCATATCTGGTTTTGGGGCTTTGAGTCTACTGGAAAATCTTACCTATTCAGTTTGTTGGGCATGAGAAGCTGCCTGCTTGGTACAGCCCCTGGTTCTTTGGCACTGACCCACAGTAATTGTCTATGACCTTATACAATCTCAGAAAAACAGCTGGTTAGAATAGTTATGTCATTTTTGCTAAAGTTGTACAGTCAGCAATAACAGTACTATCAAACAGCTTACAAACTGAGGTAACCATTAATTTGCCATCTTCTAACTGTATGAATTAGATTTGAACTTATAAATCAAAGTCTAAAAACAAAACCATATACAGTAAATAAATCCTGAGGACTTAATCCTGAGGCAATATGCCGAATTTACCCTTGGGCAGAATATTTTAAATGGGTTGACAAAAAAAAAAAGGGAAAGATTAGAAGCAAGGCTGAGGGCCGGGGCTCAGGAGAACAAGCGCTTGCCTGGCAAGCGCAAGGTCCTTAGTTCAATCCCCGGTACCAAAAAACAAACAAACAAAAAAACAAAAACAGCCCCACAAGGCTGGAGGAAAAAGCAGGATCTCACAAACTGTGGGAAACTGGTACAAAAGACAAGAGGAAAAGAGAACGGGGGAAAAAAAAAGAATATAACAAGACCACAGAGGAGGTAGAAACCATGTTCACACATAATATAAACAAGATTAAACTATGAAGGGGGGAAAAAGTGGAGCAAATAGCCCACATTAGTATCTGCTGTCACTTGTAGACAACATGTGGAAACAGTTCAGATCCATGTTGACTTATCTCAGGACAACAGCAATAACTTTATGGCAATGTAGTGGATCATCTCAGCGTGAGACAGATGTGTCGCCTTGATTTCCCCAGAAGTACTGGTTGGGACCAGACCAGTTCAGCTTGCAGCTATCATTGCATCTTTTGTGGGCCTGAACTCAGCTGAGAGCCACTAGAAGGACCCAGAAGTTGTTCTGAGTTCTGAACTCAGTTGGCCCCTCTCCAAGATGACTCCCATCCAGTTACCCTCTTCCATAAACATCTAGTCCCACAGCATTCACTCGCAGCTAGTGCAGTCCCTCAGGTCCAGAGTCCCCTTCGATTGCTACATCTCTCCATGGTGTTCCTTGTCTTCCTCATATTGCTGTGTTCTAGTGTCTAGACAGCAACTCAGAGAGGCTCTTTCTCTGATGCTTACCAGAAGTGCCTCCTCAAATTTTTTAGAATTGTGTACTATGTGACCAAATAACTAGTTCCCGTGAATCTCCAGGGAATTCCTTAACTCAGCTCCAGTATGTAAGGCTGTATCTTTTGATATGATTATATATTAACAAACAACTGGAGAAAAAATCATTGGTCAGTAATATGTGTGTGGCTGAATAAGTTATGATACAGTTATATGATGTAGCCATTAAAAATGAAAACAAGGTACATGTCAGTGGCTTTTAGGATTTCTGCAGAGTATTAAATAAGAACATCAAGATAAAGAAATTTGTGTATATTGTTTTTATAAAAATAACTTTAATAAAAAAAAAACTTGCATGTTAAAAAGTTATGTATGTGACTGAATGCCAAGGTTCCTGGAAGTACAGATGAAAATATGGAAACAAAGTGTACCAGAATACCATAAAGAAGATTTTGATAGGTAAATGCTAGTGGAGGGGAAAAATGAATGGTGTGGCAAAATGTAAGCCAACATAACCCAGTTTTTTTAATGTCTTAGACACCACTGAATAATGAGTAAAGGAAATTAATGAAATATAGAAAGCTAGTAACCAAAGTAGTGAATATAAAATTTAAATATCATCCATACTACCACAGTTTTTAATTTATAGCATTGTGTCTATTTTGGTATTTCAATAAAAGTTATGTTAGGGTTATAAATTGGTGTGTCATTACTGGAGGGCAATTTGGCAAATAGTAAGATTTACTATAGAAGTGCTTGTTGGAGATAGTTGGTAATGGGGACATTTTGGAAATGTCTTAAATACAGTAGATATCCAGCATAGAAGCATTCAGTTTGAAAAACAATGTTGTTATTGTTCAAATTGTTAGGTGAAGAGTTTTCTGACTGGTACACTGAAGCCCCAGAGGATGTCCAGTGCCCGTGTCAGTCACTCTCTGGGAGGGTGAAGAGCACTGAGATTTGAAAGCTACCTTCTGTTGTATCAGCTCTGTGCAGCTGAAACATTTCTATGGGTACTGGGAGTTGAACATAGGACCTATGCATTGAGCTACATCTCTAGTTTTGCTGCTGTTTTTGAGACATGGTCTTGCTAAGTTCAGAAGTTGCCCAAGTTGAGCTCAAACTTGTGATCCCTCCTGCCTCAGCTCTCCAGAGTGCTGGATTTACACCATGCCATACCACACCCAGCTCGGTTGGAGAACTTTTAAAATTCATTGTTTTTGGGCCGGTCAGATTGTTCAGCATATTAAAGCCCCTGCAAGCAGGTACAGGGGCCACGGGTTCGACCCCTAGGCCTGCTGTGCCAACCCCGCCCCGGGGCACCCTGAGATGGCAATTGAGACTAGGCGTGGTGGTGCCTATAATCCCAGCTCTTGGGAGGCTATAAGCTCGTGGATCACTATGAGTCCGATTGAGTAGTGAGAACCTGAACACCCTGTAGACCCTCCCCTAATAAAAAATAAAAAGTCATTGTTTTATTAGGAAGCCAAATAGCTCTTATTAGGAAGTCAGGGACTAAACCAAAACCAAAGCAACCCAACAAATTAAAAACCTCTTTAATAGGTTTCTATAAATAAATAATTTGGGGAAATGGTCATGCTAAGTTGTTAGTAGACCTGAATAAAACAGTTTTAAAAATCAGAGATATAGAGACTCACATTTGCTTTCATTCTTTTCATTTTTTAAACTGATATATAAAATATAAAATTTGTGCATAATTTTGGAGTACAGTGTGATATTTCAGTTCAAATATGCATTAAGTCAGGTTAAAATCTCCTCAAACATATAACATTGCTTTTTGGCAAAAACTTAAAAATCTTACCTTCTATTGGAAATGTATTATACATTATGATTATCAATAGTCACGTTGTTATGCAGTAGCACACAAAACTTTTTTTTTACTACTATTTGATTGACCCATCCATCCCTATGCCATACTCTTCTTTAGTCCCTGATAGCCACCATTCATCTTCTAGGAGATTGTTTTAAGGTTCGATAAGTAAGTGAAGTTATCTGGTACTTGTCTTTCAGCACCTGACTTGTTTAACATGATGGTCTCCAGTTCCATATTTTCGTGAATGACAGGATTTTATTCTTTTTTATGCCTGAATGATATTGCATTGTATGTGATGCTGCATATGCTTTATCCATTCAACAGTTGGTGGACACTTAAAGTTGCTTCCATTTTTTGGCTGTTGTGAATAGTACTGCAGTAACATGAGTGTTCAAATGTTTATTTCTTTTAAAAAAGGACAAACAAATGTTCATTTTTCCCGCAGACTGAATTCATTTCCTTTTGATATATTCATTTCCATTTTTGGATTGCTCAATCATTTGGTAGTTCTATTTTAAATTTTATGAGGAACCTTCATACTGTTTCCAGTATGACATTGTGATTTATCATCAATAATATGCAACAATGGACAAAGGCTCTTTTTTCTCCATATTCTTCCCTTCACTTATTATCCTCAAATCTTTTTGGCAGTTGTGTTGTTGGAGTAAAGTGGTGTCTCACTGGAGTTTTGATTTGCTTTTTTCTACTAATGATGTTGAGCAATTATTCATATACTCATTGGCCATTTGTCTTTTGAGAAATCTCTGCTTAGTCTATTGCCCAGCAGTAGAGTTATTAAGGGTTTTTTGCTATTGAGTTGTTTCTCTACCTTTCATATTTTGGCTAGCAATTCTTTTTCAGTTGTGTACTTTGCAGGTATTTTGTTCTATATTTCTCTTAGCTGTTAATAGTTTTTTTACCCCTTTGTTTTCATTGCTATGCAGAAGCATTTTAGTTTCATGTAATTCCCTTCTTTTTTACTTGTTTTTTTTTTTGTTGTTGTTGTTGTTATTTTTGTTTTGGTGGTACCAGGGATCAAACTCAGGACCTTGTGCTTGCCAGACAAGAACTTAGTCAAAACAAAACAAAACAAAACAAAAACTTAGTCCACTGAGCTATCTCCCTGGACCTTGTTTTGTGTTTTGGGGTCCATACTTTTTAAATCTTTGCCCATTTCAACATTCTGAAGTATTTCCTTTATGTTTCTTTCTGCCTGTTTCTTAATTCCAGATCTTACATTTAGATTTTTAATCAGTTTTGAAGGGTCTTAATTTTGTTGTCTTGTATGTGGATATTAAGTTTTCCCTAATTCAGAAGTCCAAAATCTGAAATGCTCCAAAGTCTGAAACTTTCTGAGTGCCAACATGATACTCCGCAGTTTTTTATTTTGTGTTTGAAATTAGGGGTGTTCCACAGATATTTCAAAATCCAAAAAAAAAAAAAAAAATCCAAAATCTGAAATACTTCTAATTACACTTATTTTGGATAAAACATCTAACCTATAATCAAAGTTATAGACACAAATATTAGTTTGTATTATTAATTTTCTTTTGGAAATGACTACTCAGTGATACTTTAGCAGATCAAGTAATTTAAAATATGTAAAGCATCCTTTTGTAATGTAGATAACATTTCTATAATTGCTTTTTTTTTTTTTTTTTTTTCCTCCTTCCTGTGCCAGAGATTGAACTCAAGACCTTGTTGGGCTTGCCAGTCAAGGGTTTAGGCTGCTAAGCTCTTTTCCCAACCCCTCTATAATTGTTTGTTTTGTAAATAAAGTGTTGATGATTTCCTTTAAGTCCTCCCAGTGTCATTATTCTTTACTTTTTGTTGTTTGTTTGTTTGCAGTACTAGGGCTTGAACTCAGGACCCTGCTTATTCTGCTGAGCTATCTCTCTGGCCCTTCTTTGCTAACTTTTTGTCCAGTATTTTACTGTGCATAAAGCCCTCTTCAAAGCCTATTATGTAAAATGGCTAATGTGTATAATCTGTATCCTTCATATTTTTCATTTTAGGAAAATGAAACTTAAGTGTTTACTGAGTTTTACCAGATAAGATTACTGAAAGATAATTTGGCTGTGATTTGAGCCAGAAGTGTCTAATTTTCTGGGATATAGTGCTATTACTTGAATTCATATACCAACTGAAATACTACTAAATAAAGTAGAAGACATTGATTTTTATTTTAGTACAAATTCTATGTTATAATGTTCATATATGTTTTATATTGTGCTGTATACTATTGTAGCCTTGTTATAGTGACTTGTTAAATGAAAATTTTCTTTTCCAGTTTGGCAATCCTATTATCACCACCCCTCTAAAACGTCGTAAAGTTAATTCTCAAGAAACTTTAATGGATCCTATATCTGTAAGATGCCCAGGTTCCTTTGAAAGTATCATTTTAAGCTGTCGAAGTATACGCGTAGGAACACTGTTTCGACTATTAATAGAGCCTGTAATTGTAAGTATATTTTATTCATTGTGCTACTATAAGATTCAGAATTCCACTGGCAAATCTAGTTTGTAATATTTAAATTTTGTTAAGTTAATCAAATATCAAATTTATTTCAAGATTTGAAATTGCTTTAAGAGTATTGTCTTCATTAAAAGTAGTAGATTAAGGGCTGGCCAGATAGCTCAGCGGATTAAAGCGCCTGCTTTAGGCAAATGCAGGGACCTGGGATCGGGTGGAGGGTCTCAGCATGCAAGGAGGGGCTGAGGGCATGCTAAGACATTGAATGAGATTGGGCGTGGTGGCATGCACCTGTAATCCCAGCTATGAGGAGGCTGAAAACAGGAGGATCACTATGAGTCTGATCTGTGTAGTGAAACCCTGTAGACCCTGTACTAAATACATTTAAAAAAAAAAGAACAGTAAAAGAGAAAGAATCCAGAAGCTTTTGAGTTATGTGGGAAATATATATTGAACCTTTAAAACTTCAAGAAATAGGTTATTATACTACATCGGGTGCCCAAGAGGTATTATGCTTTTGGACTAGTTCAGTGTCCACAAGATGTAAAGGATTTTCTGTAGTCCCTTAATTTTTTCTGTCATACATGTCTACATTACCACCACTAATCCCATTCAAGTGTTTATCTTCTATTGGAAATTTTAATATACTCTCCTTAACCATCCACCGCTCTGTTCGAAACATTGTTGCTAGATTGATCCTCCTAAAACTGTGCTTATCCTTTAATGCCTTAATTTATGTCTTTCATTGAATTTTCCATCTCCTAATATTATAAAGGATACTTTGTGCATAAAGTATTACCCTTAAGAGAGCATATTGTATCATAGCATGAAAGTTAAAGGGTAGTTGCTTTATTTTTACTCAAATTATGGTAAATGATAGTAATTTATTTTCTGGTAAGGTTTCTTGGTTCTAGAAATACAATATGGGTAAAGGAAAAATTTGGCAGGTTAGTTTATAGGAACAAATGAAATAGGAAATGATTTCTTAGTAGAACAAAGCTCTGTGGGGGGTTGCCATTTTTTGTTTTTGTTTGTTTCCAACAAAATACTCCAGTTTATTAAAAATGAGAAAATTTCAGGGCGGTGGAGATAGCTAAGTGGCATAAGCACCTGCCTGGCAAGTTCAGGGTCCTGAGTTCAATTCCTGGTACCAAAAGAAAGGAAACTTTTCGAAGGTATTCCAGAGATGTAAAGCAAATAGTATATACCCTATTATTTAGTACCCAATAATATTATATTAATTGTTTTTCAGTGATGGGTGAAATTTGGTTTTTGTTACAAATTTTCATACTGCAAACTCTCTTTGTGGATTTTGTCATTTGATAAAAATACCATTCCACAACCAAAGAGATAACTTAGTGGCATAAGCGCCTGCCTAGTAAGTAGCACAAGGTCCCAAGTTTAATCCCTGATCTTCCTCCCCCCAAAGAATGTCATTCTGTGTCACTTCATGCCTCAAAAATTTCCTGGAATACTCTGTAGAGTTTATGATTTTCTCTCATATTAGCACTATTATCACTATTCTGTGTGATAAAGTTTTGTTGGTGATTTACATTTTTAATAAAAGTAACTATACATAGCTTTTAGTCTCGAAGCTATCCAAGAACTACATTAATAGATTTTTTTTCTCTTTTAAACAGGTTAGGTTATATACTTACTACAGTGAAGTAAAACTTTAAATATAATCCAAAAAAGGTAGTAAGTATAAAAAAATGTGCTGACATACTTTTTAAAAATCAAACTGATAAGCAAAGTATTTCAGCCAAAAAATTAACGTAGAAAATTTGCTATGCAATATTACTTTTTGTAGTATAGGACTTTTCCAAAAGACATCTTTCATTGAAGTATACAGAATCTTACTTATTTTTCTTTGTAAAAGTATTTATTTATTTATTCGATACAGGTTCTTGCTACACAGTTCAGGCTTATAGTGACCCTATTGTCTCAGCCTGCCCTGCGCTGGGATTATAGGCATGCACCACCACACCAGGTTTCAGTGCCAGCACAGCACCTGGGGTTCCAGGGCTGGTGTGACATGCAGTACCAGAGATCAAACCCAGGTCCTTGCACTTGTCAGGCAGGCACTTCAGTCAAGCTATCTTCCCAGCCAGGACCTATCATTTCTATAGAAGATATAATTAAGAAAGCGTGCATTTTATTCCTGAATATAACTTAAATTTCATTCAGTCAGTAATAGAATTGTTAATATCTAGAAATGCCATATTCATTTATAAGTAAAATGGGTTATATTATTGGGACTATTACATATCTAGTATGAAATTCTTTGTTTTTACATTAAAAAAAATCTAATACCTACGTTTTCAGTCAGTTTAATCTTAAAAATATTTTGAGATATGGCCCAATATCTTCCTTATAATATTAGTATTAATACACATAAATTTTAAATGACATAAATACTAAGACTTTGGTGGGGAGTAGTACTAGGGAATGAAATCAGGGCTGTGTTCATAACACTTTTTTATTTTAAAGACAGGCTTTCTCGCAGATTACTAAGGCTGGACTTAAGCTTGCAATCCTCTTGCCTCCACCTCCCTCCCAGTGTGCTAAGAGTATAGATGTGGTCTCAGTTACTTTTTCTCATTGCTGGGGCAAAATGATGAGCTCCTAGTTAGTGGAGATTTCAGTTCATACTCATCTGGCTCCAAGGCAGAGTGGCACATGGCAGAGGGCAGCAGTTCATGGCAGTGGGAAAACAGCAGGAACAAAAGGGAGGAGCAGTGGCTGTGGCAGCTAGCGAGCTTTCTCCCTCCCTTGTACTATATTTAGACTATCTGCTCCAAGGTAGGTGTGGCACACACACCATAATCCCAGCATTGGATCACGAATTAATCACAAGCTGTAGAAACCTGCTCCAGTGACTGCATGAGGCTTTGGGGGACAGCTAGACACCATAATAGGTGTGCACCATTAAGTCCAGATAAAACACTCTTCAAATTCCTTTGTTTCCTGAAACAGTTTTATTCAGCTATTTTATATCTTCACTTACTGTATTTCATTTCTGTTGCTACTTTTTGAGTCACCTAACATTTTTCTCAAGCATGTAACTTTAGCTTCTGTGTATGCTGAAGTGGCCTAACCTGAGCCCTTCAGTCCTCCCGCCTTAGCCTCCTGAGTAGCTGGGATGAAAGCTGTGTGCTGTTGCTTGAAGAATACAAGTAGTGTGTTACTTTCAAGTTAACCTGGAAACCTGGTTAACCTGTTACTTGTTCTTTGTTTTTTGGATTTTTCCCCTTGTTAGTATATGTTGCAGTGCACAGTGCTTGCATTCATCGTCGGGAATTGCCGTTGTATATAGCACACCTTCATTCTTTTTACATCCCTTCAGCTAGCATGTTACTTTCAGAGAAATCCTTGTAAAAGATTTTTAGTAACATTCTAGACTTAGTAATTGGTGTAGTTATTACCAAATTTATATTTTTGTTTTTTACATTATGAAAAATTTTCCAGTTCAAAGAATATTATATTACAGTGAACATTTATGTATTTCCACTTAGGTTTTATCAGAATTGTATTGTACTATACAGGTTAAGTATCACTAATTTAAAAATCCATGCTCAAATGACTCTCAGTTTTGGGAGGACATGTGGTGCATACCTGTATTTCTAGCTCTTTGAGAGACGAAAATAGGCAGAACAATCACCTACACCCAGTTCAGGTCCAGCCTAAACAAATTAAAGAGACCCTCATTTTTGAAAAAAGTTGTATTGGGGTTAGAGGTGTGTGTGGTTCAGTTTTAGAGTTTGTGCATTAGCAGGTACAAAGAAGGCCCTGCGTTCAATGCCTAGCAGCACAAAAATAAAATTTTGGAACTTGGAAAAGAATTTCAGATTTTCACATTAAGAGAGAGGCTCAGTGAATCCTAGGCAAATATTTGAATATTCATAAATCTCCAAAATCTGATATATTCTGGTTCTAAGCATTTTGGATAAGGAACAAAAGTACTTGAGTCCTTTCTGTAAATGTAAAACATTTTTGAGATTGCTTAATGTTGTCTTCCTTACATTGAAATACTTAGTTAGAAAATTGCCATTTTTTGAATCACCAGTAATAACTGAGTTTGGCAGAGATTTTCAATAGGTGCTAATACCATTGAGTTAAAATTATTTGGGGACAAGATATTTCCTTTGAAGTATCTCTTCACATTATTTAATCACAAAGAGAAAATCTATCTTTACAGTATAAGAACTAGCATTTCCTGCCTTAGTCAACTGATGAAGTCAGACAGCATGTGCCTTCTGATACTACACTTTCTCTGGGGAGAGTTTCAGCACATCCCATATGTTATATTTGATGGAAATGTGCTGCTTGAATTTTCAAATTAGGCAGTGAAAGTCCAAGATGTTGAATGATTTGTAGAACTTACCCTGGAATTCCTTAAAGATCGTGTCATGAAGAGCAGAGAGAGGTAGATTTCTGCTGCAGGATGGAGCATACAAGAGAACTAATAGAGTGTTGACAAAGTCATGACTTGAGGCAAAGTTAAAATAAAAATTAAAGCCAGTCCTGAGTAGTTTTGGAAATTTAACCATGAACTGTATGTTGAGTGAAGTTAGTCTTGATTTCATAAGTGTGTTAATACTTTGGTTGCATAGGAGAGGGTCCTTACTTCTTCAGGGATACATGCAAAAGTTTTTGGAAATTAAATATTATATATGTTTTTTGCTTGATGAAAGGCAGGCAGAGGAGTGTGTGTGTGGAAAGAGGGGGTGGAACATGGCAAAATACTAAGTTAGGAAACGAAGTTAAGAAGTAATTGTTCATTGTAGTATTATGTTAGCTTCCCTAGACATAATCTAGTGATGTAATAGAAGTTGTAAGTTCTCTGAAAAATTGAAGTCTCGCTTCCTAATCGATAATTTTGTACTGTAAATAGTTTATCTTAATGTTATGCATGTAGTAAATGGTTTAGTTTTTCTGGATTCTGTAGATCTATGTTAAAGTAACAAAATCTTAAGCATAATTAGTACTAATTTATCTTAATTTTTTTATAGTTTTCTGTAGAGTTTATCAAGATACATCTGGATGGTAAGCTATTTTTTTATGCTTATTCCCTAAAGCTTTGTTTATAGTGAATCACCGTACAGGAATAAAAAATTAAAAGATATTTACAGAATTTATTAAGATGATTAGTCATTTTATATATTTGGACAAAGGGCATACAACTTGGTATAATTTAATTTTGTAATAACAAAATCGAATTTGCTCTAGCCCCATCGTTATTTAGACAAAAAGCAGAAGCTGCTGCTGCTGCTGCTTTTTCTCTTTTGGTTTGACTTGTTTTGTTAAAACGAGGGCTTGCTATGTAGTTCAGGGTGGCCTTGAACTCAAGGGCAGTCATTTTGCTACAGCTTCCTGGGTACTGGAGTTACAGGCATGGACCACATGGGCTACAAGCTTCTTCAGTATGTGTGTAAGTTATTTACAAAGCATAATGAATGACATGACTAAACATGTACTTCTGCTCCAATGATTCTGCCCTCTATTGATTCCTTTTACATTTGTCTTTGTTTTCCTCCAGAACCAGAAAGTGATCCTGTAGAGATTATTTTACATACCTCTGATCTCACTAAATGTGAATGGTGTAATATCCGAAAATTACCAGTAGTGTTTCTTCAGACAGTACCAACAACTTACCAAAAGCTGAGCATGCAACTGCAAATGAACAACGAGGATAAAGTATGGAATGACTGTAGAGGAGTAAGCAAGCCAACAAGTAAGTTATCTCAGCAGGTTGTAAAGTGACAGTTTGTTGAACAGTAAGAGTGTGAACGCATCGGAAGTTGAATGCTCAGTCCAGGACAGCATGACTGCATGTGTATTTTAGAACATGTATTAAAGCAGTATTTCTCAAGTCGTTCACTTCATTTATAAGAACATATTATAGCTAACTTGGAGATTAGAAGTACTGCTTCCATTTTTTTTTTTTTTTTTTTAGATGAGGAATTGCCTACACAGAAAGTAGAGAACTATTAGAATCCAAGTTTAGCCACTTATAAAGTTTTCAAAATAGATTAAAACTCAAAAAAAATCTATTCTCTTTAACACAGTCAGATTTGAGTAAAGATAGTTTCTTTAACTTGTAGGAATGTTAAGTGTAAATCAACCATATCAATCTGAAATCATTAAAACAAGAGACTTAAAATGTTTCTGAGTTCACAGAGCCTTTGTCAGTTACAATCCATAGAAATGTTTCTCCAGGGCCTAAGGACATAGCTCACACATACAAGCATCTACCTGGCAAGCACAGGGGCCCAAGTTCCATCCCTGGCCCCACATGCCATGCTGGCCCTGCCAGTTCAAGACCAAGGGACCAGAAAAGTGCACACAAAGCCAGCCCAAGCTATATAGTGAGACCCATCTCCCCCATAAAAAAAAAAGAAAAAAAATGTTTCTCCAGTTTCCCTTATTACACAGCTGCTTATAAAGTACATGTCAGCAGTAATTGCTGTTTCAGCTTAATCATGAGTTAGTACTATTATTAAAGCTGGAAAAGTTGACACATTAGTGAATAGCAGGTTTGCATTTATATTCTCTAGAGATGTTACCAATTCACTTGACAAATTTCTTATTTGAGTTTGACAAAATGTTAATTATTTAAAGTTATAAATAGATTAAGATCCTATTCAGTAACATTGGTTACGTCCATCAATAGTTTTTTTTTTTTAAATAATTTTCTTTTATTTTGAAGAATAAAAACAAGAACAAGAAAACAAAAGCAAAGACAAACAGGGTAACATAACAGATCAATTACAGATTTTCAAAACTAGAATAGCTGATTAGCAGTGATTGATATATTATCTATTTTAATTATCAAATCTGTTGATCAGATTAATAATACAGTTATGGGAGATATGATTATTACCACATGCTTCAAGAAATCTTAATTTTTTCTCTTATTACCTTTTAAAACAAAAATTTATTCTTAAGCTGTTGTAGGGTTTTTGTTTTTGTAGTTTTATAACTTTGGTTATATTGTTGGGTAACATTTTTATTTCTTTTATTCCATTATTTGTTTTGTGTGTATTGTATGCCAAATGTTTTTGTAGGACATCTGATGATCTTGGAAATTAGTTGTGAACTCTTTTTGTATTTATTTCCATTTCTTTCTAGATTTGGAAGAAGAATACATCATTCTAATTTTCCAAAATAGCCTTGATCCACAGACAAACATTGTATTTGAGAACATCATTAATAATATTGGTATAAAGAATAATATTTCCAATTTTTTTGGAAAAATTCTCTTTGAAGAAGCCAATAGCAGACTTGTTGCTTGTACAAAAAGCTATGAAGAGAGCATCAAAGGACGTTGTATGCAAAAAGAAAACAAAGTTAAAACTGTAATTATGTTTAAATTTTTAAAAACTAGTTTAATGGATTATTTACACTTTATTACAATGTTGCTCATTTTAATTTTTTCTAATTCTATTTCAGAATTTGTTTTTATGCATGATGTGTAAACTGTCCTGTATCAAAACATTAATGATAGCCAGTCTTAGTGGCACACCCTTTAACTCCAGCACCTCAGGAGAATGAGGCTGTATTGTAAGTTTAGGGCAACTTGGTAAGACCCTGTCTCAGAAAGCTGGCGAGGAAGCTCAGTGTTGTAGTACCCCCGTGTTGAGTCCCCAGTTATAAAAGTAAAGGCGGATGGGCCTTGGAAGCGTTTTTATTTCCTCCTCACACTCTGTTGTCTTTTTTTTTTTCCTCTTGTCCTTTTCATTTACACCCCTCACCCAGTGTGTGTGAGTGTATGTGCGCACATATGTGCATGCACATGCACGCTTCCACATTCAAATTACTGCCCTGTGTCTGTCTTAGAGAGGTTATTACAACTTTTGGGTGGTTTTACACATTTATAGTTTGGGGGTTTTTGTTGTTGTTCGTCTTTTTGAGACAGAGTCTTTGCTATGCAGTTCAGACTGACCTTGAGCTCACTTTGTAGCACAGTCTGGTCTTGAACTTGCAATAAACCTCCTGCCTCATCCTCCCAAGTGTTGGGATTACTGCCATGGATCATCACACCTACCTATACATTTATAGCACATAATTGAAAAGTTGGAAACTAAAAAAAATACTATTTTATTATATATTTTTTTGGTATTGGGAATCTCAAGACTTTGCATTTGCCAAGCAGATACTATGTTGCTGAGCTGTCTCCCTAATCCAGGAACTAAAAACTTTACTGTTTGAATTTGATTGTCAAAATATGTGTATAGAATTTACGCAGTTAAGCAACTTAGAACCCTTGTGAAACAAAGGCTGCAGTACTAATAGAACTCAATTTTGGTATATTAACTTCTTGGGAGTAAATCTTAGCCTGGATTACAATTTAGAAATGTGGCTACATAGGTAAGGGACAATCTTGGTAGTTGGACAAAACCTCATGGAGTTAGTGGGTTGGGGAGAAGAGTAGGAGAAATGGGACTTGTTCTCCTTTTGCAGTTATAGGCGGGAAATAAAACCAGAGGAGGAAAAGAGCAGCAGAAGCCAGAAGTCATTTTGGATGAATTATTTTAATAGAAGGTCCTGTAAGAACTTTCTGTTTCGCTTAGGTAGACAGTGTCATTGAACTCTGGCCCCACAATGGAGTGCTGGATTTAGGTAGATCCCTGTTGCTAGAAGAAAAATCACTTTGGTCTTCCTTGAATCTTACTAACAAAATCTAACTTTAAAACTCTCAGAGCAGTAAGACACTGGTAAACCATTATTAGCATGTTTTGGGAGAATATTGTTGTTTAAAAGTTATAGAAAGTGGGGCTGGAGAGATGGCTCAGTGGTCTAAAGCACCTACTTGGAACAAGCTTGGCAAAGCACAGGGACCACGGTTCAATCCCCCAGTACCACATGCCAGCCAGCCCCGCCCCCTGGTGGGCTGAGCTGGCCACACACATACAATAAATAAATGTAAAAAATAAATAAATAAAATAAGTGTTTAAAAAAAAAAGTTATAGAAAGTGGCGCTTAACCCTTTCTTGTTTTTAATTGTTAAATATCATGCGTCCTTTGCTAGATTCATATTTTTAATTCTAATTGAAAGCTTTCTATGCTTCACCCTTGATCTTTTTATAGAACATTTTTCTAATCTTGTGTGTTGGTACTTTAATTTCCTTCACCAGATGTCCTTTGAATCTAAAGTACAACTTAGAAACAAACGGGAGTTCCAGTTTTTTGATGATGAGGAAGAATCTGGAGAAAGCCACACCATCTTCATTGGGCCTGTAGAAAAGTAAGAGGGCGCTTTGGACTTTGAGTGCTTCAGAGCTTTGTCTGTTTTCTTATGTGTAGTTGTACGGATATGTAAAGCTTTGTTTATTTGGTTTTTTTAAATTTCAGATTGATAGTGTATCCACCACCTCCTGCTAAGGGGGGCATCTCTGTTACTAATGAGGACCTGCACTGTCTAAGTGAAGGAGAATTTTTAAATGATGTTATTATAGACTTTTATTTGAAGTAAGTTAATTTTTTGCTGAGCTTCTAATCTTTAACAAAAATCTTTAACATTCCAATGTCTTTTCGTTTTCTTGTTATTTGGATTTTGAATTTCATCATTGCCACTTACTGTGTGACCTCTGGCAAATTAATTTGTCTATACCTTTTTCCACATTTTACAAATGAAAGTAGTATGTACAAGTATTGTAAGAATTAACCGAGGTAATGCATGTCAGGTATAGGAAAAATGCTCAACACTGACATTTTCATAAAATAGTAGTTTATTTTACATCTGTCTTGTAAAATGGGCACGTGTATCACACAAAACAAAATATAGTGTCAGTATACTCATTGCTGTCTGATATTTTAGTTTGTTTCAATGTATTTCATAAAATGTTTAAAACATTTGTGGAAACCTGATGAGTTCATTTTTATACTAGCAAATCTATCTTACTCTGGGGGAAAGCAGAATGAAGTTTTAAGTAGAGAGTGATAATTATAGTTGAATTTCCTTTAGGCTATTTTGATAGGCATATACATTTCAGAAGTCTAAATATGTTGTCATTTAAGGAAATTAAATTAAGGTGATTGAAGAAGCCCACCTCTTGGCATGAAGAAGGAATGGTGAGAAGTCGTAGGCATAAGGGCTGCGGGGTATATAGCACTAGCAGAATTTAGAACTGGGAATATGGTTATCAAGGGATATAGGTGCCAGAAAACTTGGGAGTTTTCTGACTCATAATACCTGTTAAACTTATATCTTTCACATTTCAATATTTGTCTACAATTTTTTAATTTGCTATATAATTATCATTGATTTTCAATAAAGAAAATAATGAGAAGGAAAAAAAAAAGACCTGTTAAAAAATGTTAGAATAAACTGAAACAATGAGTGTGGAATAGACATAAGTGGGAAAGTGATAAAATTGCTTTTATTTTAGTAGTACCAGTGATCAAACTTGGCATCTTGCGCATGCCAGGCAAGTGCTTATGTCACTGGGCTATCTCCCTGCAAAATTCCCTCTTAAGTATTTTGTGATAGCTGGATAAATGGACTGTTTGTGAGGCCAGGGGTGTAGCTCAGCAGCATAGTCACCTACCTGGTAAGCACAAGGTCTCTAGTTTGATCCCCGCTACTATTGAAAGGGACTGTTTGCATAAGCCATTGAATATGTGGTTCAGGCAGACGCATCCAACTGCAACTTTCCTTTTTTCTCTGTTTTGCAGTGCAGAGGAATTGTCTTAGGCACGATTTAAAGCACATATATAACAAAACTTCCTTTAAAAAAATTGTATTGTATTGTAACATTTAAGTAAAAGAGGAAAAAAGGGCTGGAAGGTGGACACAGCTAAAGGCTGGTTGAGTTTTGAACTGGAGATGCATAGATTTAGGGAGATTTATTTTGTATGTAGTATAAGAATGAGTGACATTGCTTAGGGATATAGAAAAGCAACTGTAAACACAGACCCTTGAGTAGATTTTAAGGTATAGTAGAGGAATTTAAGACTTACGAATAATTTCCAAAGTAAGAAAACAAATTCAGAGGTTGGAGCCATAAGATTAAGGAAAGTATGAGAGGATATATTCTTTGATGGAGAATATGTATGGTGTAGTGGAGGTCAGAAACAAATAAAGACTGATAATAATTTTGAAGGCACAGTTACTATAAACTCATTAAGGGCGAGTGGAGAGTCCTTCCTTTGTGGCAGTGAGTGGAGGCCTGCTAAGGAGCCACCCTGCTGACAGTGACGAGGTACTTCTGGACACACTGCGCTTCCACTGCTGCCTGATGTGATCTGGTACTCAGCTTCACCCCCTGGAGTATAGCGCCAGAGGAAGCTTTCAGAACATACGAAAATAAGATCCAGAATCTTACTGAAAAGTCACTTTTTTCACCAAGCAGTAGACATCAATACTTAGGAGACAACACATTATCTGGCAAAAGATTTTAAACTATTCTAAAAATGTCTTAATGGACACTATGACCACTTATGAAGTAAATGAAACACCGAAGAAAGAAAAATAGATAGTGGCAATTTTTAAAGTTGAAATATAAACTTAAGTAGTTGGGCTCAGAAGCAGAGTGAAAGAACAAAGGAAAGGGTCAATGACCTGCCTAGAAAAAGCTCACTTCAGATATAGTATCTGTAGGCTGGAAGGAACACTATGGAAAAAGACAAGCTATACAGGCATTACTTCAAAAACGGAGCAATTGCCTAGGTGTGTTAGCACATGCCTATAATCCCAGCACTCAAGAGGCTTAAGCAGGAGGATCACTTGAGTTCGAGGCCAGCCGAGGCTACAAAGCGAGTTCAAAGTCAGCCTAAACTGCCTAACGAAACCATTTCAAAAAGAAGAAGAAGAAAAAAAAAAAAGAGTTGCTATATTGCTATCTTAAAAGTAAACATAAAACTACCAAGAGAAGTGAGGGACATTATATAATGATAAAGGAGTGATACAGAAAGAAACATAGCAGTCCTACAAATGTACTGAACACCATACAGTAGAGCTTTAAATATGTGAAGCAGAAACTGGTCGACTTAGAGCAGTAAAACATATGAAACAGAACTAGTATGCTTAAAAAGAGGGGGAAAAAGGGTGATCCATAGATAGTATTGGATCTGTCAGTACTCTTAATAGTTGTTATAGGACAGCTAGAAAGAAAATCAGTAGGATATAGAAGAACTCAATGTCACCATATACAGTAGAATTACTTAATATCAGGAAGTCATCATATATTATTCTTTTTTTTTTTTAATGCGAAACCAGGGATTGAACTCAGGCTCTTGTGCTTGGCAGGCAAGCACTTTTTCTACTGAGCCATCTCCCTGGCCCCAGTCATATATTCTTACTCAGGATGACTGTACTCCCTTTTTTAAAATGCTATTTTTCCTTTTGAAGACTTAATGTATTAAGTATGTTTAGTGAAATAAAATATCTTATGCTCACCAACCAAAGAAACCGCCCTATGGGGTCCTGCCTATTAGCTCAGTTGTGCAAATGCCCGGGATAGCGTGGTTTGATCCCCAGACCTGCCCTTAAGGCAGCCTGAGCCAGCCAAAAAAAACCCCAAAGAAACTGCCCTAGATTTTAAGTGCCTAACTTTGTAAGTAAGACTCCTTGAAACCTAATACACGTTCAAGGACATATTCAGAGAAAGATGTTCATCTCTTACTTGGTAAAGCAGAAGATGGTGCTTGGGGTTGGAGCTGTAGTGTAAGCACTTTCCTATTATGTGAGGCCCTGGGTTCATCCTAGTACATACACGCGTGCACACACACACACATGCACACCTGTGTTTCACATAAATGGCCAATAAGAATATGATGAAATGCCCAATGTGATTCATCATCCAAGAGATAACAAACCAAAACCATCAAGTCATAATGTGATAGCACTGCATCCTGTCTGGATGGCTACTAACAAAAAAAGAAAAGAAAGAAAAACAAAAAGAGCAAGTAGTAGCAAGAATATGAATAAACCTGGAAACCTTATTCATGATTGGTTGTATTATAAAGTGATGCAACCATTATAAAAGACAATCTAACTAAGAAAATTAAAAATAGAACTACTGCATGATCCAACAGTCTTACTGCTGCATAAATATCCAAAAGAAGGGAAAGCAGGGTCTTAAAAACATATTTGCATATCCATATTAATAACAGCACTCTTCACGATAGCTGAGGTGAAAACCATACTATTAATGTATAAATCAGTAAAATATGACACATACAATAGAATATTTTTCTTAAAAGGGAAAGAAATCCTGTCATATGCTACAGTAACCTTGATATTAGCCATGAGGTCATGTGGTAAGTGAATCAGTCATGAAAAGACGAGTGCTGCATGATTTCACCAGTATGGGATTACTCAAATTCATAAAGACAAAGTAGAATTGGTGGTTTCCAGCGAGTAAGAAACCAGAAAAGGGAATCTGGATTACTTCTACAAGATGGAAAAGTTCTAAGAACCTTCTGTATATCATTGCAAAATGTTTAAGGTGATAAATTTTGTTTTCCCCATAGTTTTTAAATGCATTACCTTAATCCAAATCTATAATGTACTACCTTGATAAGCCAAGTACTAAAAAATCCCGTAGTGAACATGTAGAACAACATTGCTGTTGGAAGCAGTGTTTCATGAGTGTTTGGCCAATTGATTCGAACCTTTAATTATTGAGAAGGGTTGTTGAAATCTACAACCATAGTTATAAATTTTTCTTCTTTCAAATATATATCAGTTTGTCCATTGTATTTTGTAACTTTAGGTATGCATGTGTTTATGTTTTCTTGGAGAATTTACTCTTCTATAATTACATAATTTCAGTCTTAATCTTTGCTAATCTTCCATGTCTGTAAGTCACTATTTTGCTCAGTTTTTACATTCGTTTTGTTTTTTAGCATGTATATCTATACCTGAAGTCATGCATTTTGCATTAGTTTTTCCAGTGATAGTGAAACAGTATGTACCTTTCACTGTATGCTAGAGATTTCATTACTTGCTTTTCCTCATTATGTTTTCAGGAAGCTACTCGATTAGTTATAAGACAAATTATACCAAAACAAATAATATAGAAGGCATGAATTTATATACAGTTTAGTTAGGTTTTAAAATCACAATTATTGGGGCTAGGGAGATGGCTCAGTGAATAAGTGCTTCCCTGGAAAGCACAAGGGCCTGAGTTCAATTCCTGGTTCTGCAAATAAATAAAATCACAATTATTGTTTTATTGAAATTATACCTATATTTATTCAGATATACTCTTAAAAGTAGCTATTGTAATTTGGGTTCCAAAAGTATTTTAGTTTCTCTTTTTTATAATTACCCCTGGATGTAAGGCCCGCTCTCTATATGCTCTGCTCCTTCTTTTTTGGCGGAACCAGGGATTAACTCAGGCCCTTGCGCTTACCAGGGAAGCACTTATTCTACTGAGCCATCTCCCCGGCCCCTACATACTCTCTTCTTCGTGTATGATTGTAGAAATCAACAATTATTCAGACAGTGTCCTGGGCTGAAGATAATCTGGTAATTACCATTATAAAAAAATGAAATAAATTTCATCAATAACTTCTTTCATTTGTAAAGAATAGAGGTTAATAGCAGCAGAATATTTTATCACTGCTGAACAGTTTAATATAAAGTGAACTATTATAACCATTATATTGGAATTATTTTTGCTTAAAATAGATATTTGGTGCTTGAAAAACTGAAGAAAGAAGATGCTGACAGAATTCATATATTCAGTTCTTTTTTCTACAAACGTCTTAATCAGAGAGAAAGGAAAAATCCTGAAACAACTAATCTGTCGTAAGTCAGACCTAGAAAATATTTTAACAGATATAGTAACCCATTCAAGATTAATTTAGTTCATGTCCGCATCTTGTACAGAAATTAACCACTAGGAAAAATGTATGAAATATGTTAATTATTGAAACTGTCCTACCAATTTGGTTTGAAACTGTCTCATTGCTATTTGTTTCTCAATAAAATTATGGGGAAAAAAAGATTAATTTAGTAAAACAATCACTTAACAGTCATCCTTCACTATCCATGGGCAATAGGTTCATTTCTCTTCTAAACACACATAGATACCCAGATTTGGAGATGCTCAATTCCTAGATATAAGATGGCATAACCTATGCATACCTTTATATACCTTAAGTCATCTCTACTTAGAAAGAGTACAAAGGGGGTCAGAGAAATAGCTCAGCATCATAAACATCTGCCTGGCAAATATAAGGTCCTGAGTTTGATTCCCAGTACCAAAAAAAAAGTGTCTTTTGTGCCCAGCGTGGTGGCATACACCTGTAATACCAGCATTTGGGAGGCTTAGGTAGGAGGGAGAATCTTTCCAAGTTCGAGACCAGCCTGGGCTACAAAGAGAGCTCAAGACCAACCTGAGCTACATAGTGAGACCCTATGTCAAAAAGACCAAAAAAAAGGGGCTGGAGAGATGGCTCAGTGGTCTAAAGCACCTACTTGAAACAAGCTTGGCAAAGCACAGGGACCGCGGTTCAGTGGTTATTTTTCAGAATCATGAATAAAAAAAAAAAAAAAAAAAAAAAAAATGATGATGTACATACTGTTAAATAATTGTTTTTTTGTGTGTGAGTTCTTCAAGAGTGATAACAGGGCTGGCCAGATAGCTCAGTGGAATAAAACACCTGCTTAGGCAGGAGCAGGGACCAGGCAGGGTTTGATTCCTGGTGTGCCCTGCCAGCCCCGTCCCTGGGGCCCAGTTGAGATGGCAATTGAAACTGGGCCTGGTGGCGGGTACCTGTAATCCCAGTACTTGGGAGGCTGAAAATGGGAGGATCAGTATGAGTCCAATGTGTGTAGTGAGACCCTGTAGACCCTGTCCTAAATACAGAACATAAATAAATAAGTAAATAAATATAAAAGCCAGGATGGGACCATAGCAAATTAATGAGGTTAGTTTTCATTTTTCATAGATTAATGTTCTATTGTCTTAAAATAGTCTTCACTATTTTAGGATATAATTAAAGAAATACTGCATTTATATGAGGCACCTTCATTTAGTTCTATTTCTTTTTGGATAAATTAGTATAATTCATAATATTTGAATACCTCCAGAATACCTGGAATGTGTTCCAGTAATGACATTTTTTTTTTTTAAAGAAATTACTTAGAGTGGGCCAAGGATATAGATCAGCAGGTATGAGTGCCTGCCTGACAAGTGCAAGGTCTTGAGTTCAATCTCCAGTGCAAAAAAGAAAAGAAATTACTTAAGAGGAACCTACCTGTGAATATGTACTTTCAACAAGCTTTTTTGAATGCTGCTTCCCATATGAGTTAAGGGAATGTCATGTAGAGCCTCTCCATGCAGTGAGAGTCTAGCTCTGACATTTGCTGGTGATTGGTCAAAATATGCACAATAGTTGGTATATTTGCTTATGACTGCCATTAAATGTCTTGAGTTGCCATGCATGGTATATTTTTTATTTCATCAGCTTCTGACTTTTTGAGTTGTTGATGGTCATTGATTTTCGACCAGTGCTCATAATTACACTGTTTCACCTACCGTCACATTGGTTTTTTCCTGATCTCTTTAGCTAGCATAAGTCTGATACTCTCTCAGTATATTGCTAGTACAAGTTCTGCATTAATTTAGAAAAAAAGAGAGAGAGAGAGAGCGAAGTCCTAACAAGCAAACCCCTGGAATCCTTAGGCAGTGTAGTAGGAATTAAATATCTTCCCTCCAGATTCACCGGTGGGCATTTCTGTGCTTTCCTAGTGTCATCTAAAATTCTGTGGGGTTTTCCACCTTGTCAAGCCATCTAGTATAGCCCTTTGACCTTCTGCATCTGAATCTTCAGGTTGTAAGTCACTACATGCATGCTTAAACAATGAAGACATTTCAGAAGCTTATAATGTATCTCTTTCTTAACAGAATACAACAAAAACGACACGGGAGAGTAAAAACATGGACCCGGCATGTAGATATTTTTGAGAAGGATTTTATTTTTGTACCCCTTAATGAAGCGTGAGTAAGAATGTAAATGTGATGAGTTTTTTTAAAAATGTGTTCATGAGATGAAACATTCACTTTAAAATATCTTTTTGAAATTTCTATATGTAATGAATTTATGAAAATTAATAGTTTCCTGATGAATCATAGGGTTCTTAACTTTGCAAATAGATAATCAAATACCTTTCTAATTGCATTTTTTTTAGGTCAGTGTGGAATAAAATCATTAATGGGGAACAGGCACAAGCCTATCATCCCAGCTACTCAGAAGGCTGAGGCAGAAAGATTGCAAGTTCCTGAGTTCCTGTGTGTGTGTGTGTCTTGGGGGCCTCAAACAAGACAACAGAGCGATGCCAGTGGTTTAGAGAATGTTCTGTAGGAAACTTTACTTTGCTCAAAAATAAGATTTAGTAACATAGATAATTTTGATTGATTCCTTTCTATTGTTGTTTCTTGAAACAAAGTCTCATTATTTAAGCCAAGCTGGCCTTGAATTTGTGACCACCCTCTTGCCTCAGCCTCATGGGTGCTGGGACTATAGGCATGTGCCACCATGCCCAGCTGAATATTTAGTTTAAAACATTCTTTTTGCATTTTACCAAAACAAGAAAAATGTGGTGGGATTTGTGCTATTTGCTGAAATTGAAAGCTATCCTGCCTACTTAAAAGCTATTTTCTAAGTAAATGCAGATGCTTAAATACATTTTATTACTCCCTACTAGGACTGCAGATACTGATGTGTGTAGGATGGAATTACACGGTTAAGTCCTGAAAGCTCTTTGTATTTTAGTTTTTCATTTTCCCATACCCTCCAACCAAAGACTACTGAGAGCACACATACAGCTGGACAATGCGGGCTTACTACTTTCATCAAGAAACACCACACACGTAGGCAGCTGTTGCAGTCTGAGTAAAAGGGTGATTTAGGGGAGAGTCTGTGGTTGCAGTGATCTACTTGGGTAAAGAAGTAGCATTCAGGCAGTGGGCAGGAGAACCACAAGTTTAAACCAAGCCTGGAGAACTTAACTAGACCCTGCTGTACCAGCATGGTAGTGCATGCCTGTAGTCCCAGCACCTGGAGGCTTAGGCAGGAGGCTCGCTGTGAGTTCGTGATGTTACATAGAGGTACCGAGTCCACCTGATGAGTGTGGTCATGTCAGTCGTTGACAAGTGGGGCTTAGAGGCGTGGGTGAGCCCTCACAGGATCAGCTGGAGAGCCTCGTTATGAGTTCCTGGGATACTGAAGTTCAAGTCTGCACTGTATGGCGAAAACCCTATGTCAAAAGACACACACACACACACACACACACACACACACAAAGCCTTGTCTGCAAGTAAAAAATTGAAATGTAGCTCAGTGGGAAGGCCCTGGGTTTAATCCCTATGGGTGCCTCGTAGCATTCATTTGTTTAGCAAAAGGGGGATATTCAGTATTTTGTGGGTTGCATTATAGTTTACCATCCTTTACTTAGATAAATTACAAAATGGATTTACTTTGTCTCATTTTTATCATGATTGTAATAACTTTGAGACTCATATTCTATGCTAGCAAGTTTAACAAGCCTTGTTGTGCCAGGCTACCTTTTTGGGAAGTGAGGGAGGAGGACGCTATAGTGCAGCCTGGCCTTAAAGTCACTGTGTGTTGCAGGCTGGCCACAAACTCACAGCAGTCTTCCTGTCCAAGCCTCCTCATGGTGGGCTTATAGGTGTGCACTCCTATGCCTGGCAAGGCACCTGTAGAATGAGCTTCCCCTGCCCTGTGAAACAAATTCATAGTGTAATGTAGTCAGATACTTTATTTAAAATTAGTCAGGCCGGGGAGATAGCTCAGCAGTCTAACCACCTGACTGGCAAGCTCAAGAAGCCAGGTTCAATCCCCAGCACTGTGTGCTGTGGTGGCCCTGCACTGGTGGCCACCAAAGTTGGGCATCGTGGCACTCGCCTATAATCCCACCACTGCGGAGGCTGAGACAGGAGGATCACTGTGAGTCTGAGCTGCATAGTGAGACCTTGTACCAAATAAATAAATAAATAAATAAATAAATAAATAAATAAATCTTTTTTTAAAAAGTACAAAAATCCTAATAATAATAATATAATAAAATCTGTCTTAGTAATGTAATGCCTGTAGTCCCAGCTCCTGGCAGGGATTAGACAGAAAGATATCTATAGCCCAGGATTCCAAAAGCCATCTTGGTCATCAGCATGGTGAGATTTTGTACAAAAGAAAAAACAAAATAATATTTAGGGGTTAAGGATGTAGCACAGTGGTAGAGCACTTACATATTAGCATGCACAAGGCCTTCTTGGGTTCCAGCCCTAGCACTCCAAAAAGTAAAGAAATAAAAATCATAAGACTTTGTGTTTTTCACTTAGTCCAGTCAAAGATAAGTAACCTAGGTCAAAACAGAAGCACTAGCCATAAAGCATAAAATTTCCAAGGTATATTTTTAAATCATAATATCACAAAATTTAAAGCTGAAGTGTAATTTCTTCATCCTCCTAAAAATAAGGTTTCCTGAAACGTATTTCTTATGTAGAGTAACACATGAGGGCCAGCCAGATAGCCCAGCGGATTAAAACACCTGCTTAGGCAGGCACAGCAACTGGGGTTCGATCCCCGACATGCCATACCGGCCCAGCCCCTGGGCCCGCTGAGATGGCAATTGAAACTGGGCATGGTGGTGCACACCTGTAATCCCAGTGCTTGGGAGGCTGAAAACAGGAGGACCACTACGAGTCCTGTATAGCAGAGACCCTGTGCCAAATGCATTGAAAAATACGTAAACATATGAGCTGCCTAACAAGTGAAAGAGAGGAAAGCTGTTTGATGAGGAGAGTTATAGAAATTCCTAACAAATGTAATTTGAGGTACTAACAATTTAGGTATAGAGGCACGTCTTTTAGTGGCTGTACATGTTGAGAGAAGCAATCAGTGATGTTCGTTTTCTTGGTGGGAGGTGAAGAAAGAATAGTAATGAGAGTCCAAGAAAAGATCTGCGATGGGGCTGGTGAGATGGCTCAGTGGTCTAAAGCACCTACTTAGAACAAGCTTAGCAAAGCACAGGGACCCGGTTCAATCCCCCAGCACCACATGCCAGCCAGCCCCGCCCCCTGGTGGGCTGAGCTGGCCACACACACATATAAATAAATAAATAAAATTTAAAAAAAAAAAAAGAGAAAAAAAAAAAAGAAAAGATCTGCGAAAGAGTACACCAGTAGTTGAGAAGTTAGTCAATAAGTCATGAAGTCTTGGTTTGCTTTTTGAAAAGGTCAAGTCAGAAATAATAATATGTGCAAATTCGACTGGACAGGCTGCTACGTATTATTTTATTTTCTGAGGATACTGATTTTTAATTTAGATTTATAAAGTGTTTATTAGAAACTATTACCGTACTTGCCAAGAAGCACATATTTGATATTTGGATATAATACAGTATAAGTGGTATTGCCTACGTTAGAATCTTCTATTGCTGACTTAAGGTAGCTGCTATCAAAATGGTTCATAAAAGATAAAACTCTTATTCTTTAACAGTGAAAGTGATCATCTGATTTAGCTTTCCGTTTTAGACCAGGAAAAAAAATAGGATTTTTCCTGCTTTTTTATATGAGGCAGCAAAAATTTTATAGCTTATCCATATTGGCATTTTTAAGAAAGTTTAAAGCTGGTTGTGGTGGGGCGTCAAGGTAATCCTAGCGCTGTAGCATGCTGAGTCAGGGAGGATCACAAACTCTAGCCCAGCCTGGAGAATTCAGTGAGACCCTGTTGCAAAGCTCAAAAAAGCAATGAGAATATAGTTCAGGTCCAAAACTCAATTCCCAGTACTACCCACTGCTCCCCAAAGGGAATTTTAAAAATGTACTGAGGCACCTGCAAGTGGAGAATCACTGTATTATGCTATATTTTATCAGTTCTTAAAATAATCATTCCATGTTTCTAAATTCAGATGTGACTTTGCTGTGTGTCAAAGTTGATGAAATTAGGAAATTGGTGTGTTCTTCCTGCTACCCCAGCCTGACCTAAGTCCATTGTATATGGAGAATTAGTAATTAAGAGCAAGAATGAAGCATCATCTGTCAGTATGTTTTTTTCTTTTAGCAGTTATTTGTTGAACCTACCACATGACGGATACTGTGCTTGGCTAATAAACTGACAGTCATAGCCTGTCTACTGTGTCTTTCATATAACTGTGCCTAGTAAATAATAGATCCTCAAAAGTTTGTTAGTTCAAATAAGTTTTAGTTAACTTAGTGCAGCTTCTTACCTGTGGCCCATACTCTTTATGTTGAAAGCTGTATATTTGGTATGTTTTTAATAGAACAGTGTCTTTCCTAAATAAAAAATTTAAAATACAGTGAGTAAAGACCAAAAAAAGTAAGCAGAGGTGTATGAAGTCAATAAGGTATGAGTTATGAAGGTATTAAGGATGGTACAAAAGTAAAGGAGGTGACTTGATTTTTATAAAAATTGTCAGGGAAAACATTTAGGTCACATTAAAGACATAAAAAGGCAGTCTAGCATTCCCAAGAGCTGGAGATAGGAGACTTGTGTTTGAACATGTATGAGAACTCAAGATAGGAAAAACCTTGATAATATGGGGATTGGGGGGGAGACAGGAGAGAGGCTTGAGACAAATGGGTGGAGACTAGATAGCTTAGAACTGGCAGAACCTAATTAATAATTCTAAGAGAAATAGGAATGATTCAGTTTTTATATTTTTTCTAACAGTAATTTTTTATTTAGACCAATATATGACATTAACCTAGTACTAGCCCAGAATCTAAAACATTTTGGGTAATGTGTATATACTAATTAATTTTCCCCTGCCCTAACCTCCTATTTCCCACAAGTTACAAACATGAATGAATTCATTTCTTGCCTTTTGAAAACAGCTTTTTAAAAATGTCATGTCTGAACTAGGTGTGCTAGTGCACACCTATAATCCCAGCACTCTGGAGGCTTAGGCAGGATTGCTACAAGCTCAAAGGCAGCCTAAATTACACAGTGTAACCTTGTTTCAAATGAGGAAAAAAAGTCATATAATGTTTAAATAATTGTTTGATTTTGTTGATGTCGACTTCCAAGGTTTATTCTGAGCATTGCATGACGTTTAACTTAGTGACTATGTGCCAATTAGGTTTCATCTGTTTACTAATGGTAATTAAGTATATTAGCCACGGAGATTTTTTTTTTTTTTATTTTGTTTTTGTTTTTTTTGTGGGGGGCACTGGGGATCAAACTCAGGACCTTGCATTGCCAGGCAAGCTCTTCAGCTGCTGAGCTATATCCCCTACCCAGTATATTAGCTGTATATTACTTCATAATGAATTATCACAAACTTAGTTATTTAAAACAACACCCACTTACAGATCAGAAGTCTGAGCAGGGTATGATTGGATTCTCTGCTCAGGATTCAGTAGTAAAATAAACGTGTTGGCTAGCTGCATTTTCACTTACAGTTATTTTCAAGCCTATTCAAATTGTTAGCAGAAGTCATTGCTTTGTAGAACTTAGGGCTGCATTTTCTTGGTGGTTGTCAGTTCCTATCGGTCACCCAGATACTAGCCATGTGGCTCTATCACAGTACACAGTATTCCAGTATTGAAGTTTGCCTCTTCAGTATCATCCGACAAGTCTCTGCGCTTAGAGATAGTTTCTTCCTCCCTTTTCTCCATCTTACCCGTATGCCCTATTGCTGAGCTACCATCCCCAGCCATTCCTTTTTTCTTTTTTTTTATGCTTTTGCATAAAAAATGTTGCAGCATCCAACATTCCATGTTGAATGTTTTGCTACTTTCTTTCCCCTCCTGCAGATCTTCCATCTCCAAATGTCCTGTCCATCCTTCAGAGAATTGCCTGTTGGATTTATTGGTCCTTTGTAACTTTTTTAGTTTCAATTTTATTAATTTCCAGTATATCTTTGCTTTCATTCGTTTCAGATTTGAATCTTGTCTTTTTCCCTTTAGGGCATTGAGGTGCATCACTTTGGTTATTTGTTTGGGAGTACTCTGTTCTTTTTTTTTTTTTTTTTCTTGTATTTGGAACAGGGTCTACAGGGTCTCTCTACATAGATCAGACTCGTGATTCTCCTCTTTTCAGCCTCTCAAGTGCTGGGATTACAGGCATGCACCACCATGCCTAGCCACTATGTTTTTACTTTTTTATTTGTTTGTTTGTTTTATTTATGGTACCGGGGATAGAACTCACAACCTTGCACTTCCAGGCAAGGGTTTATGCTGCTGAGCTATCTCCCAGTCCTGCTCTGTTCTTTTTATATTTGCATTTATAGCTATAGCTTTCCCTGTTAGAGCTCCTGTCCCATAGGACTTGGTTGTTGTGTTTCCATTGTCATTTGCTTCTAGGAACTGCTCTTTCTGATTACTTCTGTGATCCCATCTCCATGTGCTTATGTAGTTTCTGTGATCTCTTCTGTTATTTATTTCTAGTTTCATTTTGCTATGATTTGGTGGTATATAGAAATTCTTTTGTACTTAAGAATGCTACATGATCTATTTTGAAAAAGTCCTATATGCTGTTGCAAAATGTCTATTCTGTTATTATTATCAAACACTGTATATTTACCATTAGTCCCATTTGTTCACTGGTATGCTTTAACTCTTATCATTTCCTTGTTGATATTTTTGTCTGATTGGCCTGTCTAATTGGGAGAGTGAGGTATTGAAGTACCCTGCTAAAAATGTATTGGTGTTTGTCCTTTTATGTCCCAGTAGTTTTGCTTTCATCAGTTGAGTATGCTAACATTAGGTACATTCAGTACTTTTCCTGTTGAATTGCTCCCTGTACCAGTATGCAGTGGCCAGCCCTATGTTTTGTCTTTTTTCAACAACTTTTGCTTGAAGTCTGTTTTGTCTGAAAATTAGATAGCTACTTGTCTGTGTCTGTCTAGGATTCCCTTAAGTAATTTCTGCAGTGCTACATTGTTATGGCTTCTGTTTAGGTGTCTCCCTAAAGCCTTGTGAAGTTACAGGTGGCTTTTTTAAAAGTGGCTGGATCTAGAGTGTTATACTGGAATTGATTTAGAATCTAAGGCGCTAGGGTTAAGGAATTGAGTGTTGCCTGCCTTAAGTAGCCTGGGTAAGATAAAGGACGCAGAAAGACGCTGTTAAGATCCCCTGCTTGCTTGCTTTTGTCTTCTGTTCACCATGAACTGGTTCTCCTCTAGGAAGCCCACCTGATAAGCTACACTGCCTTGGAGCCAGCCGGTAATGGACTGAAGCTTTTGTAAACTGTGAGCTAGTTGAATAAACCTTTCTTCCTTTAACTTCAGGCATCAGGTATTTTGTCAGCCATTAGAAAAGTAACAGACTGTGATCATGTCCTTTGGGTTTTTATCATGGAAAGTATTACCTTTCTAGATTTTTGAAGACTAGTTTCTTAGCATATAAAGTCTTGGTTGACAACTGTTTTGTTTTAGGGCCTGGGAAATTTAAAGTTTATGCTGAGAAATCCAGTTATTGTGATAGACTTGCTTTGATGGGTTACTTGCTATTTTTTAACAGCTTTTAGTTTGTTGAATTTATGGAGTTTTGATTATGATGTGTCTTAGCAATCTTCTTTACTGGTTTTGGCTCTTCAGGGTTTTATGAGCCTCTTATTCTTGGATAGTGGATGGGTGGGTAGGGGGTACCAGGAATTGAACTCAGGACCAGGACCTCAGGCTTCTCAGGCAGGTGCTGCACCACTGAGCTATATTCCCAACCCCAGATATTGAATTATTTGCCTAGATTTGGAAAGTTTTTTTCTGGTCTGATTTCAGTGAATGCATTAACCTCCTCCCAAAATGGCTCCTGATTAAATGCTTCCAGATATGGCAGGCACTGTAGCAGGCTGCTTCTGTCTCTTCTGCAGGAGCCAGGATTGTTCTAGACCACTTCCTTTCTCTTCTTTTCCTGTTTCTCTGATTTCTAGATTTTCTGTCAGCTCCTTTTGATTTCTGCAGCTTTTCCTTTTCGCTAAATTGTTTTATAGGTGTCTGAATTGCAGGTTCTGGAAATAGAATAAAAATAGTCATTAAAGTAAAAATAGTAACAAAAATAAGGTTAGCAGATTTATTTTCAAAGTGAGCGAAGGCAATATAATTTTAATGAAAAAAACATTTTAAAATAAGTACTGTATTGTTATTCAGTGATCATACAAAGAAGTTAGAAGAATTAAAATTTATTTGACAATTGAAGACAGATTGTTGTTAGTAAATTTGTTCACAAAAGCTTTGGAGAAAACATTTTGATAATTATTGCTAGTTACAATCACCTTTTCTGATATATTTAGGATTTTGTTTGTTTGTTACAGTGCACACTGGTTTTTGGCTGTTGTTTGTTTCCCTGGTTTAGAAAAACCAAAGTATGAACCTAACCCTCATTACCATGAAAATGCAGTCGTACAAAAAAATTCAGCTGTGGAAGACAGTTGTAGTTCTTCTGCCAGTGAAACGGACAGTTGTGCACAGAACTCTTCTGCCAAGCCTGTCATTAAGAAGGTGCTAACCAAAAAGCACTGCCTAGCTGTAACCGATTCAAGCGGTGGACAGGAAGAAAGCAGCCCTTGTGGTCGGAGAAACATATGCAGTATAAAAAAAATGAATGACATTGCAAATGAAAATGGAGAGTCAAATAAAGGAGAATCTTCATGCCAGAAAGTTGTTGATAGGACTGAACGTGAGAATGGCCTCCAGGATGAATGTTTCAATTCTGTGCATCACCCAGGTATGTACTATGTTTTGAAGGAAAAGAAGAATTCAGAATTAGGACCTTTAAAGATGATGTGGTTTTTGTTTTAAGGTTGAGTTTATTGAGGTGTAATTCATTTACAGTAACATTCAGTCATGGGTATAGCTTGTGTTGTGATTGTTCACAGTCATGTAATGAATACTGAAACAAGAATTTTCAAACCTTTCTATCACTCCTAGAAAGCTTCTTTGACCCTCTTACAGTTAGTCTTTTTCCCTTATCCCTAGAAATGAAAATTTGAAACTAGTACAGGTTGAACATTCCTACTCTGAAATCTGAAATGCTTCAAAATCTGAAACTTGTTCAGCTACCAACATTACACTGTCAGTAGAAAACTCCACACCTGACTTCATGTGACACATTCCAATCAAAATGCAGACACACTCAAAATGTAAATTACCTTCAGGCTGTGGATATGAGATGCATGTGAAACAGATGAATTTTTACTTAGACTTAGGTCCCAGCCCTAAGATACTCATTATGTATATTCATACATTTCAAAATCTGAAAACCAATGGGTGTAATCATTTTGAATAAAGGATAGTCAACTCTGTACATGGCATGGTCTTAGATCCATAAAGCAAATAAATTACGATCTTCTCTGAGTACAGACTGGTAAAGTCAGTACAAGTGGCCAGAAGCAGAAGTTAACCCTTTCTTCTCTAAGCAGAAAGCTGTCCTTCACTCTTCTCAGTGCAGTGAGAGACACAACCCTTAAGTGTCTTTTTCTGATTCTCCTTCATCTCTAATAAATGATTTTCCAAGGAAAATAGTCAGTTTCCTATTTCTAGCTACTGTTACAGAAATAGAAATTTCTTTTAAGATTCCTAACTTTGATAGTCAGTGGTACAATTTTTTTCTCAAAACCATAAATAAAATAGCTTACTCCATACTCTGATTTGAGCATCCCGTAATGTGTCACGACATGACAAGAGTCTCCATAAATATGTGCAAAGTTGCAGGGAGCATTGTCTTTTCCAGTGCTTGGATTGAGCCTTGGGCTGTGTCACTAGTGAACTACATTCTCAGCTCCAAAATACATACAAGTATTATGTGTCATTTAAAAGAAAATACTTTCAATCGCTTTTTGACCTTTTGGCTAAGATCAATTGTGAAAAAATAAGTTTGCTTCTTAAAACTGGCATATGCAGACTTAATAAGCACTTACCACATTATCTTTATGTATGTGCTGCCAAAGAAAGTGCAACACATTTTCTTTGGATGAGAAGAGTTAGTATAGACCACAGAAGAAATTACGTGGAGGGCCAAGGAAATACTCAGCAGCATAGAGCACCTGGCTGGCAAGTGCAAGGTCCTGAGTTCAGTCCCCGGTACCAAACCAAACAAAACAAAGAAAAAATTACATGGATTTAGAAAGAACCTATTGAAGATTGTGAATACTGAATATATTTTGGTGCTACTCCCAGCTTACATGATTTTAATGAGTCAGAAAGCTGTTATGCTGTTATAATTTTTATTTGTTAGTCATACTAAGTTGCATAAAGGTATAATTAGCCCTAGTGTAATGATCCTTAGAAAGATGAGATGGTAAAGTGAAGTTTTAGCAGATATCGTAGAAAATTTTCATCAAAGGCCACACAGATAAATACTTTTCTAGCTCATTTTCCAGTCTGTTTCATTAGATAAGAAATAGAATACAGGCATGTAAAGTAGGTAATCAGTCATGTATTCATCTATAATTTTTTTCAGTAGTTGAGTAGGGAAAAATCTAATCATTTGTATAAAATCTCCAGAAAAATAAAATCTATAGAGTAGATCAGTGACTGCTTAGGTCTTCTGGGGGCGGGAATTTGGGGAGAAATAAAGGGTGTAAAGTTTATTTTTAAGGGCTGACGAGATAGCTTAGGACACTAAGCACCTGCTTAGGCTAGTGCAGGGACCAGGGTTCGATTCCCAGCACCACAAGCCGTGCTGGCCCTGCCTCTGGGCACACTGAGACTACGTGGTGGTGCATGCCTGTAATTCCACAGCTGGGGAGGCTAAAACAGAATCGCTATGAGTCCAAGCTGCGTAGTGAAACCCTGTACCAAATATATAAATTAGAAAAAACAGGGATTAGGCCGGGGAGATGGCTCAGTGGAATAAGTGCTTCCCTGGCAAGTGCAAGGGCCTGAGTTCAATTCCTGGTTCTGCCCAAAAAAAACCCAGGGATTGAAACCCAGTCCCTGCACTTGCCTGAGCAGGCACTTAGTCTGCTGAGCTATCTCGCCAGCCCTAAAAGTTCATTACTTTCAGAGTTTACAAATAGACTGTGGGAGTGAGTGTGATGGCACATGCTTGTAATCCCAGCATTTGGGAGGCTGAGGCAGGAGGATTGCTACAACTCTAGGCCAGCCTGGATTACAAAGTGAGTTCAAGTCCAGTCTGAACTGCATAGTGAAACCCAAGCTCAAAAAGACAAAAGGCCGGAGATAGCTTAGTGGTGCAGCATCGGGCTAGCAAGCAGGAGATCCTGACTTTGATTCTTAGTACACTCCCCCAAAATAAAATAGATTGTGGGATCTGGGTGTGGTGGTTCACCCTGGAGTTGCAGCACGTGGGAGGCTAAGGAAGGAGGATCGGGGCAAGTGTGGGGCCAGCCTGGGCTATGTAGTGATTTCAGGCTAATCTGAACCAAGTAGTGAGACCATGTCTCTAAAAAATAAAATGGATTGTAGAGGCTGAAGAGTGGTAAAGCACTCTCACAGCATGTGGGAGGCTCTAGACTCCCTTGTCCATCCTGTAAAGGAAAATGGTTGCAGTGATCATTGTAAACACATGTAGATGAACATACAGTTGTCTCTTATAGGGTTGGTTTTAGATTCCCCTCACATACCAAAATCTGTGGGTGCTCATGGTCCATATAAAAACTGGCATAACACTTGGATAAAAGCTGTGTACATCCTCCCATATACCAAAGCATCTGTGGATTACTTTTATTTATTACCTGATACAATATAAATGCTGTGTGTAGTTGTGATATGGGGTAATCGCAGAAGTCTATACGTGCAGCGCAGTTCTTCAGATATTTTCTTGAATCTGTGGGCACAGAATTGATAGGTACAAGAGGCTGACTCATGAAAACCACCCTGCTGTGCACTGTGTGAGTAAGTGCTGTGTGCCTTGTGTGTCAGCACTGCTGCTAGCAGAACAGGTCGCAAGGTGCAGTTTAGTGGCAGAGAGCATGGCCCTGGGTTTGATTTCAGCATCCAAAAGAAAAGAAGCTGTCTTGAATTAATGTTCTTAAACCCTTTCATATGAATTCAGATAAGAAATCAAGTGTCTGACCTAAAGCAATGGGACAAAGTTTTGGGCTTTCTGTACAGAAGTTCTAGCTATAACTAGTGTCCTCTTATGCAAATTATTGTTCAGGTTAACTAAATAGCTTATTAAATTTAAGGAAAAGTCTCAACTAGTGAAAATCAAAGTAAGGAATATAACTTGTTTTATATGTAGTTTATCTTTCTAATACGTTTATCCCATTTATTAATCTTTTTATTATAGTTTGTACGTTTTTGTTTTTAGTGTGTCTTGACACACTATTTTCTCATTGCTGTGTCAAAGTAGGCAACAGTGACAAGTTAAGGGAGGAGAGATGTATTTTAGCTTGGTTACACAAGCTTCAGTCCTCCGTCAGCTGGCTCCCAGTCAGGGTGGTGCTGCAGCTCATGGCACGGCAGGTAGAAGGCAGCAGCAAGCCTCCTTCCAGGCAGCCACTTGGGTAGTGCCGTTCACACCCAAGATGGGCTTTCCCACTAGCAACACCCAGAAGCTTGCTAAGCCAGTCAGTGGACTAATGTAGTAACCATACACCCTCAATGCGTCTTCACATACTGTAGATCCAGCCATCTCCAAAAAGCCCCACCTGTGGAAACTGAGACTTTGGGGGACCATCTAGATAGATGCCATGTCAGTGTGGTTTCCTGAAGCAAACACTTTACACAGCACCATTCTTATGTGTGGAATGGTGTGGATACCTTTCTGTTCTCCCAGTGATAGTAGGCATTCCTGTCCAGTAAGGTGGATCTGAGCACTTTTCTGTGAGCCGCCTTTACTAGATGTTTGCAGGGATCATGGACCCAAACTATCTTCACTGAGGGACTAGGGAGAGAGCTCGGCGGGACAGGTCCCTGCCTGGCAAGGGCCTGTGTTCAGACCCTCCTACCTTTAATATGTGTATGTATCTCTCTCTCTCTCTCTCTCTCTCTCTCTCTCTCTCTCTCTCTCTCTCTCTCTTCACCGAGAATGTGCTTCGGCACGTGCTTTCGCCACCTCAGAAGCTCGCTGGGCAGGCCAGTCCTGCGTGTGATGATGATGTTAGGGTTAGGGCGAGAGCGGGGGTGATTTTTGTGATGCGATTAATAGCTCTGGAATTAACTTGTTTGGTCTGGTAATTAACAGGATTGAAGTATGTATTTTAAGCACTTTTAGCATGCTATCAAATGCTTACAATTTGACAAACATTTTAATGAGACAAGTGCCCAAACTGAACCCACTTATTGTAAAGTGCCAACACTGCAATTAAGTTTGAATACTGAGGTTGTAATTTTTAAAGACAATTCATGTATTAAGATCTTTGAAAGAAAAGTAACATGTACAATAAGTTGCCCCATTGCTATAATAGGAAATAGATACAGTAATATCCCAGAGATTAGTTTCTAAGGTCATCTATAAGAAAGTAATAACATGGCATCACCACTCTTGCTTGGCTTATCTTGGTTTGTTTGTTTCCCCTGTTGGACACCTTAGGAAATGATGTACTTGCTAGGGTGTGTAAAAAAAAAAAAAAAATGTGCCTTTTTAGACTTCAGAATCACAGCATCTTCAGAGCTTCTCACTCCATGAGAAACTGAAGAACTGACACTGAAAGAACAAATGGTTAAGTTGTCCCTTCTCCATTTACTCCAGGCCATTTGTTCAGGAAAATCATGAAAATTGACTATCCTTTAAATTGTTGTTCTCTTGATTTTGAAGTGCACAGATAGTTTAGTTGGTGCAAGATAGACAGTTGCATAACTACTGTCTGCACATAGGAGTAATTTACTGGGGCTGGGTCAACAGCTCAGTGGTCTAAGCACCTGCTTGGCAAATGCAAGTACCTGGGTTCGATCCCAGGTACTTGCATTACTGGCCACCAAAATCTGTACACATGCTGTACTGGCCACCAAAATCGGTCATGGTGGTGCCTGCCTGTAATGCCAGCACTGGGGAAGCTGAGAAAGGAGGATCACTATGAGTCCAAGCTGCATAGTGAAACTCTGTACCAGATAAATAAAATTTAGATGCCTAGACTTTAAAACCATAAAAGTACAGGTTTTTGTAAAAAATTGAAGTTATTATTTGTATTAAAAGATTTACCATTAAGCTTGATTAGTTATTTTACTTATTATTTTATTTTTTTTTAGTACAGGGTTTATAGGGTCTCGCTACACAGATCGGATTCATAGTAATCCTCCTGGGGTTTTTAAAATTTTATTTATTTATGTATTTATTTATTTATTTTAATGTATGTAGTACAGGCTACTATACAGGGTCTTACTACACAGATCTGGAGTCACAGTGATCCTCCTGTCTTTCAGCCTCCCAAGTGCTGGCATTACAGGCACATTATAGGCACATCACCATGCCCAGTCTCAGTTGCTATCTCAGCAAACCCCGGGGGCGGGGCTGGCACAACTTGCCAGGGATCAAACCCCGGTCCCTGCATCTGCCTAAGCAGGTGCTTTAATGATTAGTTATCTTAAGTAGTATGTTTTTTATACCAGCAATTTGGATTTGGATATATGAACTTTTTCCTGGGGTGTGCTTTTTCTCATCACTTTTGTGGGATTTTTTTATTATACAAAATTATCCATTATTTCCTTATCTTTAATCCCTTTTACCCTTTATGATTCTTCATATTTTCACAATTTTAAGGTTGTACCTTATTTCATATAGTACCTTTATACTAATATTCTTAACCATGTATAACTTCATAATTAATACCAAAATAAATCTACCTAAAATACCTAAAAAACACATGTTTTAAGATTTTGAAATGGTGGGGCTAGGGAGGTAGCTGGGCGGCATAAGTGCCCACCTGGTAAGCGCAAGGTCCCGAGTTCGATCCCAGGCACTGCATGCCAGAACCAGGCTGGGTGGCACAACCTGCAATCCAAGTACTAGGGATGCCAAGACAGGAAGGTCACTATAAGAAGTGCAAAGTGTGTAGTGAGACCCTATATCAAAAAAATAAATAAATAAATTGAAATTGTAAGCTTTGTCTTAAACATTATGGATATATTTGATGTGTCATGGCTTTGTTGTTTTACATTTCCTTAAAAATATATATATAATAAGCTTCTTTAAGCAAAAGAATTGATTTTTAGCCATTTAGATGAAGTCTTTAAATAGGTGTTTAAAACTATGTACCTCAACCTTTTCCTATAAATTACTTTTACATGCTCAGCAACTGTAAGTGCCATGTGTGCTTTTATGTAATTGAAAAGTCTGTGAATATAACCAAGTGTAAAAGACCTAGGGGAACTCAACTATAAATACCATTGGTGATTTTATAGTGATACTAATACAATGCTTATCACTGCTGCATTTTTCTTTTAATTACCCAAAAGCCAAGTTATTTTATTTTTAATTTCTTTTACCCTTTATGATTCACCACATTTTCATAATTTTAAAGTTAGGCCTTATTTCATATTCTATAATTTACTGCTTGTATTATTGCTAAGCACTTATATTATCTTCAGACTGTTCCAGCTTTCTTTGAATTAGATACCTGGCATACCTAGCAACAAATACTCACCTACCTATATATACATGTAGTTAGATATACATACATTTAATCATATAACCTTATAACTTGGTTTCTTTGTTTTAATGAACTTCAGGGCTTCCGTTTAATTATGTAACTGATATGTCAAACTAGGTTCTTATTTAAAAATTATTTTATATCTGTAGAATTACATGCTAAATTTTGTAGTCTTAACTATATCAATAATTGCTAGCATGAATTTCAGTATTATATCCTTAGGCATGACCTTTTTATTATATAAAGCTTCTTATTGGTACAGATGGTTTAAGCAATATCAGAATGAACTATAGTGATGACTCAGCCGAAGGTAGTAAAATGCTTGAAGATGAATTCATCGACTTCTCAGAAGACCAAGATAACCAGGTAAAACCTATGGCTGTATAAAAGTTTGGGTTTTTGTTTTAAGTTTTTCCTTATAGAATCTTGTGAGTAATTCCTTCAAACACTTAACCATACTTTCAAAGCGCCAATTCAGTTTTTAGGTTGTAATTTCCATGGATAAATGTGTTTGTATTCTTACCACTTTCATTGGTGAGATGGGGCTGAACTCTCATCACTACCTCAGAGAGTATTAATATACAGCTACCGTTAGCCACCAGCATGCCGCCTCTTCTGATTTTAAAGCATTTATAGGCCATACGTGATTTTTAGTCTTACCTGAAATACTCAAGAGGAGAATGTTTAAATACCCCGTTACCTAGGACATGATTAAACAAAAGTGTGGGTTTTTTGGCAGGAGCAGATGTAATTTCTTAAGTCTTACTTACCCTGGTAAATATTTTGAACACCAGTCTATTTTTGAACATGTTTTATAACTTACGTTAAAGAGATCTTCACAGTTCATGAACTTGATTCTTTCCATGATTCTGGTGCAAACTGAGTCAACAAGAACTGAATCAAATTCAGAGGGTTAAGTTCAGCGTTGACCTTAAGGGGAAGTTTGATCAGTTCTCATCTAGTTTGTTTTGCAACCAGAATCATAGAATGGAACTAGTGAGCCGAGGTATCACTGTATATTAAGAGAAAAACTGGTAAGAATCTCTCTGCATATCACTTCTTTAGTGTTATGACCTCTTTCTAGTTGTTTAAAAAGATGGAAGATGGCTTTATACTATACCACCTTTTTGTTGCTGCTTAAGCCTTTTTTTTTTTTTTTTTTTTTTTTTTGTGATTCCCTTGGTGTACTTCCTGTAACTATAAAATACAGGGTCTTTTTTTCCTCCAACGTACACATATTGAGCATCACTAATCTGAAAAGCAAAAAGACACTGAAGGAGTTTCAGATTTCAGGTTTTCAGATCAGGAATGCTTTATCCCCTAGATAAATATTCTGAAACACTTTTGGGTCTAAGCATTTCAAGTCAGGGATACTCAAGCTGAGCATTCTGCATCATTAAGGAGGCTAAGGTAGGAAGATTGCTATGAGTCCAGAGCCAGCCTAAACTAGTGTGAGACTGTCTCAAAAAGGGAAGAGGGGATACTCAGCCTGATATTAAGGGAGGGTATTCACAGTTTTAAATGGTTACTTATTCTTAAGCTTTTTTGGTTATAGCAGTTGCCTGTTATATTTACTATACTAGTTAATCTGATTGTTCGTACTATTGATTATATTCTACTAATAAAGTTTCAGAAAGTTTTCTTGTATTACCAAGACAATCTTCAGAATAAAACATTCTTGGGGCCGGGGAGATGGCTCAGTGGAATAAGCGCTTCCCTGGCAAGCACAAGGGCCTGAGTTCAATCCCTGGTTCCGCAATAAATAAATAAAACATTCTTAAGCTGTCTTCTCTCAAGTAAATATATGGTTTTGTCAAGAAGTATTTCCAAATACCCTGGTATGCAAAAAACTACTCATGGAAAAGAATAATAAATATGCTATTAGTGTCTTACTGTGGAAGAGCTGTCTAAGCCAACAAGATAAATTTTTATAGAAATGAACTAAAATCAGTAATAGTATTTGACAGAATTAGTCATAGTCTTTAAAGGTTTTTTTCTAGATTTTGTGACTAGGTAAAATAATCTTTAGTAAATTTATGAATTTTTAGTTTTTAAAATGCCAGTATTTTAACAATAGATAGTTGGGGTCTAATAACATGCTACCTTTTCTGTTTCGGTCTGTAGAGATTATTTTTTCATGTTATAAGGATTTTTGTCAGTAGTGCTATTTTAAGTATTAATTATTTAAGAGGTGTAAATACCAACAGTGGGCTGTCTGTTATAGGATGACAGCAGTGACGATGGGTCCCTTGCTGAGGAGAACTGCAGCTCAGAAATAGGACAGTGGCATTTAAGGCCTACTGTCTGTAAACAGTAAGTATGGACTGTGTCCCTTGCACATTATATGGTAGAGTTTTATTTAAATACATTCATAGAAAGCACGACCAGGCAGTTTTTATCTAAGCATAATTCTCAAATGTTGTCAGGTCCCATGAGGAAAAAGCAAAGCAGATATCCAGGGTTCAAGCAGAGAAGAATGGCTGATCATTAGCCCTCCTTTGCCAGTTTTCCCATCCGCTGCATCCATAGGTGTACACTTAGTAGTGAGCCCAGTTCTCTTTTTATACAGTGTTTGGAGCAGAAAACAATGATACATCAAATAATGCCATGAGGTTTGAGTTGATGCTGGCTGCATACCTACCTTATGAGGGCTGCTTTACACATGGGAACCCCAAATGAAAGTACGTCAGGGTTAGTGTTCAGAAGAACACATGTATTTTAATGTCTGTCTGGAGACTCCAAACGCAGATGATGAAGTATTACCTATTTCTGGATTTGGTCTCTTTGACTATGTTGTAGGGAATGTTGGCAGAGATGCTATTAAGTGGCAAACTTCATTTTGCCAAATAGAGAGGCAGACTTCATTTATAAATGAAAACAGAGAGTTACTATAATTATGAGATGTGCTCCAGGCCTGGGGCCATACCTCAGCGGTACAGTGTGTACAACCCTGGCTTCGGTCATTAGCACAGGAATGGGGAGGATGCTCCAAATCCCAAAAATGTAAACCAAACATTTCAGGACTTTTGACATTGCAGGTATTCAACTTTTGGTCATTTCTGTCCCACAGACCATGTATTCTACTTATGGACTCACTCAGAGGCCCCTCTCGCTCAAATGTTGTAAAAATTCTAAGAGAGTAAGTTCAGAATTATACCTCACATTTTGTTTCATATTATGGTGGACATGAGGCCCTTTGTGTATTTTCACATACCTGTATTCTTATTATGTATTCATTCTCGCAGGTATTTAGAAGTGGAATGGGAAGTTAAAAAAGGAAGCAAAAGAAGTTTTTCCAAAGATGTTATGAAAGGCTCCAATCCAAAAGTACCACAGCAGAACAACTTCAGTGATTGTGGCGTATATGTATTGCAGTATGTGGAGAGCTTTTTTGAGGTGAGTTTCAGTTTGTTAACTCGGACGTAATGAAAAACAAAATAGCATCTTTGACATTTTGTATATGAACACAATGGGCAACAACTTAATAATTATTCTACATTACAGATCTCAGATCTCTCTTGTGATTCAGACTACTGAATCATAACCTCTTTTATACTTTTTTGTTTTTTCTTGAGCAAAAACATCCAAATTAGAGAACCTTTGGCACAAAAAATATTTATATACTGGTCACCAGATCCAAATTTATTGACCTTATTCCATCACTAATTGCTAGTCTTTTATATTTGTTGAAACAAGGTCTTGCCGGGTCAGAGAGATGGCTCAGTAGAATAAAAGGGCCTCAGTTCAATCCCTGGTTCTACCAAAAAAAGAAAGAAACAAGGTCTTGCTATTTGATTCAGGCTTCCCTTAAACACTGTGTAGCCCAGCCTGGCTTTGAACTTGTAGCAGTTCTCCTCCCGCAGCCTCCTAAGTACTGAAATTATAGGTCTGCACTAGCACTCTTGGCTTCTGGTCTGTTTTATTTATTTATTTATTTTTTATTTTTTGTTTTTGGCGGAACCGGGGATTGAACTCAGGCCCTTGCGCTTGCCAGGGAAGCGCTTATTCCACTGAGCCATCTCCCCGGCCCCTCTGGTCTGTTTTAGAATGTAAGGTACATAAACAGAAGCCACCCTACACCTTCAGTGCCTACCGCAGTGCTTGGCATGTGACAGTAAATCGATACATGCTGATATTTTCATTTTTAACTAGATGTTTGTTTGAAATGAAAATGTAGTTTGTACAGGTTTTTTTTTTTTTTTGTGGTTACCGGGGATTGAACTCAGGACCCTGCGCTTGCCAGGCACTTATTCTGCTGAGCTATCTCCCCAGCCCATGTTACAGTTTTAATAGGCATATAATCCTTTTATTTTCAGAATCCAATACTGAATTTTGAATTACCTATGAATTTGATGAACTGGTTTCCACCTCCACGAATGAGAACAAAAAGAGAAGAAATCCGAAACATAATTCTGAAGCTGCAAGAAGATCAGAGCAAACAGAGAAAGCCGCAGAAGGAAGTGTCCTCCACAGAAGTGTCTCTAGAGGAAGGGACGGAACAGGATCATGTCGGCAGTGTCTCAGCCTGACCAGAGTCTGAGTCCAGTCTTGGGGACTAAGTGACTTTCGACTGTGGGTATAGACAGTGAAGAACTGGAGTGCTCCCTACTCGGTGATTGGGAAATGTTAATGCTTGTAAAAATGTCATATAATTAATTTCCAAAGGAGTATGTATTAAGTAAAAGTCTGTAAATAATGTTAATGAGGCCAATTTTTCCAGCATTTATAATTATTTTTTTCACTTGTTAGGAAGCATTTGTTATTTTCTGTTAATAGTACTTAAAACTGCAACTTCTAAACACAAAATAAAAAAATATTTATAGGAGGAAATTATTAATTTGATATTCTTTAGTGAACTTGTATAATTCCTCAAGTGGGTGTGGTCTGTTCCCTCAGAATATTCGAGTATCTGTGATAATCTTTCGACCTTTGACGACTGTTCTAAAATAGCTCTGTGGGAAGCTAAGCGTAAATGTAAGGCGTTTTGAACTAAGATGGCATCTTTTGCTTGCATCACAGAAGAGCTTCGATTCATGGGCCCTCCTGTGTTAAGAGACAGATAATTGTTTTTTGTTTTTTTTTTTCTTTTCCTTTTTTTTTTTTTTTTGTACCGGGGATCAAACTAAGGACCTTGAGATTACAGGCAGGAGCTTAAGCTGCTGAGCTATCTCTCTGCCCCCTTAAGTATTAACAACTCGAAGAAAGCTACAAAATAGCAACATCACTCGCACACATTCTTGTCAGATGTCTAAAGACATCAGACTTAGGTTAACACTAATCTTGATAACTGCAGCTTGAATTTCAGATAGCATGCTGCAACCTGTATGATAATTATTTCTCATTTGTTTTGCTTTTTTGAGACAGGGTCTCACTGTGCAGCTCAGGCTGGCCTTGAGCTCACCTTGTACACCAGGCTGGTCTGGGACTTGCAAAGATCCTTCTGCTTCAGCCTCAGCCGTGCTGGGTTACAGGTGTGTGCCACCATGACCAGCCAATAAATTACTTTTCATTTGTCTAAACACAGGAATTTAGTAAGAGTCTATTACTTAATAATAGTTTATTATATTTAAAAGTATCATGTTTTGAGTTTTCCGGTGTAAAACAAGCAAAAGTTACTGTCTTTAAGTACATAATGCACAAAAAGTCTTCTACTTTGAATTTCCTTTTAAAAACTAAGCTGTGGAGCTAGGGTTACAGTTCAGTGATGGTATATATACTTAGCACCTAGGTTTATTTAATCTAGTACCCAAAAAATAAAAATACTAAAATATTTAGGCTTTGACACATTGACAACAGATGTAGAAACCTTGCATAAACCTGTCAGAATTACTAATTTTAGTGGTGGTACAGTTTTCTTTACAGTTAATTTTGAGACTTGAAATACTTAAAGTCATTTTTTATTTAGTGAATTTTTAATTGCACAACAAATAATGGAGTAAAAGAGCCATTTTTATCATCGTAATTATTTCTAATTTGGCCACCTGTTACCTTGTGCCCACACATGTTGGCTGTTTCCTTGCATCTAATAAAATCCACTGGGGTTGATGGCTGTGGTATATCAAAAGAGTTCCGTTAGGACACAGTAAATGAGATGTTAAAATGAAAGCATAGGTGTCGCTGTTAGTGACAGCAGTTTGGTGTTTCTTTGTTACATTGAACTATCTTAACAGTTTTTCATTTCTGAGTTTTTCTTGTTACAATGCCTTGGAGTTACTGGGTAAGATAATTAGCTCATATGAAAAAAGAAGAGCTTAAGTTTACCATTAACGTAAAAGTCTTTTGGGTTAGAAAAAATATTTAAAACTAATGTTATAAGCGAAATTGATATTTTTTTAAATAAACCACTTTTTACTAGAACTTGATGTATGAAAAAAGTCATTTTAAAGGCCAGACGTGATGACGCACACCTGTAACCCCAGCTGCTCAGGAGGGTGATCCTGGGAGTTCAGGGTCAGCCTGGGCATGATAGCCGGATTTTGTCTCTAAAAACAAAAGACTACTCTAAAACTCTTTTAATTTGTAATGCTTACTGATTTGGTCTTAGATAATTTTTAATAATTAAAATTATAGCAATCCTTGGTCCAATTTTCATCAATACTTATTACATAAAAATCTATATAGATAGATGTATTTCTAGTTTCTAGAGGTAGAGCATTTAGTGAGTTGATGGTATTTGGCCCACCCTATGTGAATTTTATTTTTAAATGTTATGCTAATAACTTCGCAGTATATGTCTTTGAAGGCTCTCAGGTTATGCTACAAAACTAGACTTGAGAATCTTTAGTATGTATGCATTCACTTGATGCTTGTGTACTCTTCTATATGTTGTTTTCAGTGGATATCTTTAAACTATGTGATTAGCAGTTAGACGTGAACAGAACTTTGAGGGCTAAAGGTTTGTTACTTGACACTGGAACTGCATGACGGGTATCTGGTGTCTTAACTAATTAGATAGACTTGTTGTATTGGTTTTCTTGTTGGATAGAATAACAGTTAATCGTTTTTAGCAGAGTTTTAGATTACCTACCATAAAATTTGTATGTGTCTCAGTTCTCAGTGGTTTAGAAGAAAGGAGTGTAGTCCTCTCCCTCTGACGTTGCTGTATCTGCATCTGCAGCTGAAAGCATAATACTGCTCAGTTCACTTAAATCTAAAACAGCTTTTCTTTGCATTTATAACCTATGCTTGAACGCAGTCAATTACATGTAGGTTTTATTTGAAAGCATAAATTGATTATCTTAATTACATCTTGATTCCTACCTTCACATGAGGTCAGTATTTTTTCTTTAAAAAGTATCCATCATCTCTAAAGATTGTAAAATGTAATGTAAAAAGAATAACAGTTTTAATTTCCACCAAATCAAAAAGTTGCGAAGTCAAGATAGCTTACTGAATGGGAATATTAAAGGCCTTATTTTATTTTATTTATTTATTTTTCAAGTATGAACTGTTTTATTGTGATGACTTTACTTGCCTCTAGTCAAAAGCTAAAGGCCTTATTTTAACGCATAGTGTACAATCAAGAGTTGGGGTAAGACTGGGAGTGTGATGGGGGGAGGAATGACCTGGTCAGAAGCAGGGCCCTTAGGAGCTGAGGGCTGTAGTGCTGTGTGTCCAGCAGAGATAACAAATGACAGCTGCTCTGTGGGACACTAAGGACAAAAGTACAGGAAGATGATTCTCTGATTCGCATAGTAATGTACTCCAACTGAATTGAGACTAGTGGGTAGTTTACAAAATAAAACCCAAATGTATAGGGGGAAGATGAAACTGCCCTTGGAAATGTTACATGCTAAAACCGAAGGGCTGAAATACTCCAAAGGGGTTTCTGGTACATTCCCACTTTTTAAGGAGAAGAAAAAGGTCATGAAAAGAGCTATTCTGAAACTTAAATTTTCATACATGAACTGATTGATGAAGCAATGTAACTTTATTACATTGTTACATTGTAACATAAGGGATGTAGCCTTACTGTCCTGAGGAGGAGTAATGGCTGGTCTCCTGGGTACAGTTGAGGAAATCAGGGCACAGTGTACTCAGAGATGCCATAGATCCATGGCTTCAAATAACCAGAGAAGTCCTAGGCTCAGAGACTTTATTGCAAATGATTGCAATTGTTACAGCAGAGGATTATAGATAGAATTTTTACAGTTCCAGCTTCAAGAGTTCACAATGCATATTTCAGGGACCTAAAAGTATGTGTTCAACTCACCTGGAAAGTTTTAAACTATGTATGACCAGGGTCTTCACCCCAGTAGTGCTATGTATATTTTAAGAATTTCTTAGGTGTCCTTGCAGCAAGGCATTGATTTGAAAGCATCTGGTGGCCAGTCCCAGTGACAAGGTATATTTCTCTGCTCATGTGTTCGTTAAGGCAGCACTTTTAATTCCTTTGCCCAACTCATTACAAATTTGATGTCATTAAACTGTTACTAAGCCTTAAGAATATATTAAAGTGTTACAAAGATAGAGATTGGCAGATGCCCTGGTTTTCAGAGGAAGGAAGTATGTAAATTCTACATTTTATAAAGTAACATGAGCACTGGGTGTGGTGATATACACCTGTAATCCCAGCACTCAGGAGGGTGAGGCAGGAGGATCACGGAGTTCAAGGCCAGTCTGGGCTTCACACACATGTTTAAGGCCAGGCTGCAGTACATAGCAAGACCTTGTCTGGAAACACCAAAGGAAGAAGGCAAACAGTCTGATTCTCTCTTGCTAAGATTTTTGGGTGAATTCTGACATGTGTAGTTTGTGAGTTCTTAAAGCTGGGGTTGGCAGGGGCTTTGAGACCACTGAAAAGGTTGTGTCCTATTTTTAATAGGATTCTGAACTAGTTGATCTGTAGGATAGACAGGCTAACAATTCTCAAAGTGTGTTTGATAATTAGTTGTGATAATAGAATCTAGGATCATGTAAATTTGGAAGAAGTTTCAGTCAAGTTAGGTGTGTTTGCTATAGGACTTCTCAGAGCCTTTAATAGGCTAATATTTAGAATTATCAAGGAAATTACAGTCCATATATGCAGTGAAATCTGGCCTCACCTGCCTAAATTTTCTTCTAGACTAAACTTTGTTGTAATACAATCTTTCAGAAGACCAACTATTTCAGATGTTTGTGAACTGGACTTCAAGAGATGATTTTTTTTGAGATGATGATTTTAAAATAGTTTTTTTTTTTTTAACATTAAGATGTTCTAAAAATATCTTGGTGAAATAGTTTAGGAGAATTATTTTAACCATTGTGATAAAACTAACCATTCTAATGAAAAATTTACAAATTAATACAAATGAATTCTGGGGGGGAAATAGAGAGTGGTAACTTTATTTTACTTTTCAGTACTAAGTCTTGAACTTTGAGTCTACCCATTGAGCTATACCCCCAGCTTGCCTGCCCTTTCTCCTTCCTTTCCTTTCCTTTTGTCCTTTTGTCCTGTTTTTTCTTTGGGGGGGCGTTGTTTGTTTCTTTTGTTTTTTTGTATTTTTAGGGAAGGGTCTACAGGGTGTTCAGGATCTCACTACTAGATCAGACTCAGTGATCTGCCTGTTTACAGCCTCCCACGAGCTGGGATTACAGGCATGCACTACCACACCCAGTCAGTCTCATCTCAGTGCGCACCGGTGGCAGGGCTGGCACCGCAGGCCCGGGTGTCTAACCCCTGGCCCCTGTGCCTGCTTGCAGGTGCTGTAATCTGCTGAACTATTTGGCCAGCCCTTATTTCTGTTGTTTTGAGACACACTCTTGCTAAATGGTTACTTACATTGCCCAGGCTGGGCTCCAGCCCCCCAGAGTGGAGGCTTATATTGCAAGTTTGTGTCACAACACCTTGCTGATAACTAACCTTTTGTGGTTAACCAGTGGTGGTGAATATTTTGGGGCTTTCAGTGACACCAACAGCTGCTGCAAGATGTGTGCCACAGGTTTGCCACTACTGACCTGAATTTACAAGTAGAAATTGTATCAAGATATGAAGGTGAGTTCAAAGGTTATTTGGAAGGTTTTTCTCCTTTGTTTTGTTGGGGGCTTTTTGTTTTTGAGACAGGGTCTCACTGTGTAGTTCAAGCTGGACTTGAACTCACTATGTAGTCCAGACTGGCTCAGGGATCCTCCTGACTCAGCCTCTTAAATGCTGGGATTACAGGTGTGCACCACAACAAAGAATATTTTGAGGCACAGACTTTTTTAGTTTTTGTGTGTGTATGTGTGCACACATGCACACAGGTCTCACTATGCAGCTCGAACTTAGAATGATCCTCCTGTTTTCAGCCTCCCCAGTGCTGGGATTATAGGTGTGCACCACCACGCCCAGAGGAGGTGGCCAGCTCAGTGTGCCCAGGGGCAGGCCTGGCCCTGCATGTGGTGCCAGGGATGGAATCAGTTCCTGCACTTGCCTCTGCAGGTGCTTAGTCTGCTGAGCTATCTCGCTGGCCTGGGCATAGCTCTCTTGGTGAAAATTCCAAAAGCTTTCCCTGGCAAGATGGAGTTTTTGAGTTCACAGTTTTACTCAGAGATCAGATTAACCTGTATTAGAAAAAAGATAAAAGTGAACAAGATGACAGTGTTTTTTAAAGAGATGCAATGTGGCACCTCCATTACTGAAACTGGTTTATGGGAAGTTCACTGAGTTATTGTACAAACAGCTTTAAACCTATGCATAGTTTCTTAGAAGAAGGCCTCAGTTCAGAGAGGTATAAAATGAGTTTAGGAACTAATCATTCAGGGCCTCAGTGCTTATCCTAAACGGTCATTCTGAAACATTTCAAGCTAAGAAGTAACATGAAACAGCCGTGAAAAGATCGCAGTGGTGTTAGCGAGGCCCTCTGGGGGCGGGAGAGAACGCCTCCACCATAGTATGAGGCGGGTTGCAGTAATCAGGGTAAAGATCCATTTGCAGCTGTGATCATAGGAAAGCAGAGGAGAACATATTTGTGGGCTTCATTTGAAACTTTCAGAAGTGGAACAAGAATAGGAAAGGTTTTCTTTTGTCCAGAACTTTGAATTTTCTTGTCTATGTATGAAGTGTTGTCAAAGATAATTTTGTGTACAGCTGAAAAATGGAGAGATGACTGATTATTGATAAAGTTGATTGTAAGAGTGAAATTATAAATCATACACTACCAAAGACAAGCATCATTAAACTTTTTAAACAAAGTTTCCTATTTTTAAAATACAAACATAAAAACAATTAGAATTAAATGCTGACATTCTATTATTTTCAAAAAAGTCATGTGTATAAACCTGAGGGAATTTTTCAGAAGCAGTTTATTGTACCTCACCTAGTAGCTAGGCAGTATTTCCAAATGTGCCTTTTAGAGGAACTGCCAAAGG